GAATAGGTAGGTAGAAAAAGTAATAAATAAGTATATTTCTGGGTTTAGTAAGACAACTGTAATCAATAAAGTAAGTGCAGGGTTAGGATTGCCTAATAGTAACATATGTAAAAAGACTTAATTTTTTAAATTTTGTCTAGACATTATATGCTTTTCCTCATTGCATTTGCCCTCACACCCAACTTAGTATCTTCACGGTATACCTCTGGTACACTCACCAACTGACTTTTTTTTTTTGATGATGGATTTTTTTTTTTTAATAATAAATTTTATTTTTATATTCCCCATACAATTGCAACCCCCCCATTCTGATCCCAATCCCTCCCCTCCTGCCCCCCACCCCCCCAAAAGTGTCTCTGTTTCATAGTTTTTTGTTGATTCTGATTTTCACTTTCTTATAGTTATTCATTTTCCTGGTCCCTCATTTAAGTTTTCTAGATTCCTGCTATGAGTGAGACCATCCGGTATTTTTCTTTTTCTTTTTGGCTTATTTCGCTGAGCATGATCCCTTCCAGCGCCATCCATGTTGCTGCAAATTGCATGTGTTTATCTTTTTTGAATGCTGAGTAATATTCCATGGTGTATATGTACCACATCTTCTTGATCCAATCATCTATTTTTGGGCATTTGGGTTGTTTCCAAAGCTTAGCTATTGTAAACAGTGCTGCTATAAACATAGGGGTGCAGGTGTTCTTTGGAATGGATGTTTCTGTGTCCTTTGGGTAAATACCTAGGAGTGGAATTGCTGGATCATATGGAAGCTCTATGTTTAGTAGGTCAAGAAATCTCCACACAGCTCTCCATAGTGGTTGGACCAGTTTGCACTCCCACCAACAGTGCAGAAGAGTTCCTTTTTCTCCACACCCTCGCCAACATTTGTTGTTGCTAGTTTTTTTAATATGTGCCATTCTCACTGGTGTGAGATGGTATCTCATGGTAGTTTTGATTTGCATTTCCCTGATTACAAGTGATGTTGAACATTTTTTCATATGCCTGTTGGCCATTTACATTTCTTCTTCAGAGAAGTTTCTTTTTAGCTCTTCTGCCCATTTTTTGACTGGATTATTTTCTTTGTTGTTGAACACTCACCAACTGACTTTTAAGTCTCATCAGCATTTGCCACGGATTCTGACTTTAAGTTGCTCTCTGTTTGGAGTCCTCCTGTCACCCTATTTTTGCATTCTCAAACTTCACTCTCCAGAAATCCCGCTCAAACGCTGCTGTCTGCTAGACATCTGTCTTAGTGCAGTCACATCACAGATTTTTTTCATTCTGGGAAATACATGTCTTAAAATCAATATAAGATTTCTTGTTTTATGAACAAAATTTGAAATAATACCAGGCAGTAGCTGTTCCAGATCTGACATATAGCTGCATTTTCATTTTCTCATTCTGATACACAGCCTTTTCGGATATGGTAACACAGCGGTTGCTTTTTCCTCTGCCACCAGCCAGCCCACATTCATTTTAATTTCATCTTTTAATGCAGGGGGGGCAGCTCCCTTCCTCAAAGGACCAGTTATTTTAGGAGTTGCAGCCCCTAAAGTCTGTCACATCTCTGCTTCTACAGCCAGTTAATCCATAAATTAGCGTGCCAGTGTTTAATAAAACTGGACACAGAATTAAATTTCACATAATTTTTCATTATCCCATAAACAACTGATTTTTTGCCAGCATTTAAAATACCACCTTATGTCATACAAAAACAGGTGGTAGCAGAGGCCAGTTTGCTAACCCCTTGCTCGAAGTCTAGCATAAGCAATCCAGTTAATGTCTAGATTTCTCTAGAACTTGCTTCTACTTGTTTTATGATAAATAAACTCAGAACAATACTTTGCTTCCAACTGTATTATCCACTTTTTATTGTTTCAGTAATCTTTTCCAGAGTTAACTACTTCTGTTTGTAGATATTAAATGTATAAGAAATCCACTTCAAATGCTGGCAATGTTAAGAACATAGTCTTTCCCTTTCCTTCAACTCAGAATTAAGACTTTTGAGTCTTTTTTATGTTCCAGTCCCAGAAGTAGTATTCTAAGTTATCTGAAGACAGTCTTATACTTTGTTGTAGTGGTCTGTAGCTCTAGTAACACAATTACCAAACAGATTTAAATAGGTCTAAAACTAAGAAGTCTTCTCTCAGTATTTAAACTCATTTGAGAGAAGACTTCTTAGTTTTAGACATATTTAAATCTGTTTGGTAATTGTGTTACTATTTGTGTGCTATTTTATTAAATACTCATTTGAGAGAAGACTTCTTAGTTTTAGACCTATTTAAATCTGTTTGGTAATTGTGTTACTAGAGCCACAGACCACTACTACAAAGTATAAGACACTACTACAAAGTATAAGTTTAAATGAGTATTTAAACTCACCTACAAGGCATGTTTTCCTTAAAAACAATGCCTCCACTCCAAATAAATGAAGGTCAAAATAAATGAAGAGCTCAAATAACATTAGCCCCACTTGTTTGTCCTGGTGTTGTGTGGATGAAAAGCAGCAGCCAGTTACGATGACTGGAGATAGATCCAAAGTAATTGTCATATTTGTTAAAATTTTTCCATCCTAAGGAAAACGCACATATGAGGGGGTCATATCATCCACATGGTAGTCCAAATTAGCAAGGATGTGTTTGATTTGTTTTACAGCTCCTGTCATAAAAGGTTTTACTCTTTCTAGTTTGTGTTCTTCAAGTTGGCCCTTGATTTTATGTAACCTTTGATGTACTTCTTGTAGACTTAACTTTGTGTAGCTTGTTTCTTGCAAGTTCGGCAGTATCAACACCAATTACTGTACTTTTGGAATTTTTGCACTCAGGACCTTGAGTCCATTTCCACCAATGAGCGAGTCATTCGTGTTACCTTCTGTCGTACTGACCTCTTCCCCTGAGGCGTACAACCTGGTCAAGATCTTCTGGATCATGATGGTGGCCAGAGGGAGACAAAGACAGTGCTGTCTTAGCAGGAGCCCAGAGCTCCGAGCCATACTGGGGGGAGTGTGGGGAAAAGTTGTTAAAAGTGATATGTGAGGGGCCTCCCTGGTGGCGCAAGGGGTTAAGCACTGCACTATGAAGCAATCCGCAGCCTCTGCAGCAAGAGTTCCATCCCAGGCCCACCGGGGAGCAACCCACATGGCGCAGCAGACCTCTCCTGATTCACCCGCTGCTCCGCTCAGCAGTGTACATCCGTCAAATCTGCCTGTTCTGTTCCCCATTCTGTCTCTGGTGAGTCATCTCACCCTGCGCATCTCTGGCCTGTACCCCCAGCCTTTGTATGCATAAATAAATAAATACATCTTTTTTTAAAAAAAGTGATTATGTGAAATCTCATTTATGAAACAGATAAGCAGAAAAGCACATTTCTGCATTCCTTCTTATTTAGCTGGGAAGAGGTTAGGGTCCGTTTTATGATCCTCTGTTATTCAGTTTTTGCTATTTTATTAAAGTTTGGAATTTAATTAAATGGGGACATACGCCTTACTTCTCTAAGGTGACTGTGATAGAGCAGCAAGATAACTTAATTGAAGGATATACTGCAATGGCTTAACTGTCTTGATCTTTCAGATATGTATGCAAAGATCAGATAATCTAATGTGTTAGTTAAGAGTGCTTACTGTGTGTGATAACATGTCTTATTGTATATTTCCTTGTGAGTTTATTTATTATTTGTGAGTTTATTTTTAAGTTAAGACCGTTCTTAATTATTATACAGGTACTGATAGTATAGAATGCAAAGTTGCAGAAAATCCAGTAGAATCCTGAAGTACCAACAGCTATTTGTTACTCTTTCGGTGAAAAAATCAAAGACAAAAGAATCTTTGAAGAGTTTATTCTGGGGACAATGAATTCAAATTAGATGTAATTCACTCATGATAAACCTTCCCACTAGGAACTCCCTAATCCAGTGAGAAAGTGTATCCTAGGGGAAGAAAGCGTGTATCCTGCCTATGCATAACTCAGTTAGATTGATCAGTTAAGCATGAGCAAAGCCTAATTAATTGTTAGAAGAAAGAAATATAGTAAAGAGTGCAACTCTGGAATCTAGAGTCCCATAAGCAATAGTTTTTCAGCACTGTTCAGAGAGAATACAATCCAGCTTTTTATTGTAATTTAAATAGATTCTAAATATTGAACATGTTATTTGTCCAGCTTTATTTTGGCTCCATTTTCCTTTGTTTTAAATTTCCTGCTCATTCAGATAACCTCTTAGATACCCCGGTGTGGAGGTGGGGCACCCTGGATAATAGATAACATGACTATCTCCTATTGCAAACAAATATTGACACTTGGCCTATATGTTATTTTTTAAAATACACTTATTAAAAATAAAAATATATCCATCATTTCTAGTTTGGTTCGTATAAACTTCATCACTTCTTTGTGTGCAGAAAAATAACTGGATTTTATGGAGCTGTGGGCCACACTCAAGAATAATTCTCTTTTTGTAGAGGGCAGAGATCATAGTCTTAACTCTCGTATACCCAGTGTTTGGTACTTGGTTGGGGCTTAGTTTAATGTTGTATTAATGAAACTCATTATTGAGTGTAAGAGATAGTATCTCCAGACTTTCGGTAGGAACAACTATAGGCATTTGTAGCCCTACTCCTAGATTTTTGCACCTGTCAAAAGAGCATTCTACCTTTAACACAACAGAAATAGTTCATTAAGTGTTGAAAATGCAGTTCTCTAAACAAACTAGAGCCTAGCATAAGGTAGATCATCAGGTGAAAGGGTACAAAGTCAAGGTGAAGAATAGATTTGGATTTTAAGTGGTGAACTTGATGTAATATAAACAGAAGTTGATTCTCAGTGATGAAAACCTGAAACCTTCAAATGTTATAATACAGTGTTACTTCAGTTAACAAAACTAGAATCTAAAAAGGGATATAAAACATCTTTTAGGGAAAAAAAGGGGGGGTGGTTCATTGAGAACAAAGCCAGTTTCGTTGTTTTTGTTATTAGTAGTAATTATTAAATAATGAGCACTTTATTTTTACTTTATAGACCTTACTGCAGTATGCCAGCAATAAGAACGCATCAGAACATATTGTGTATCTTCTGGAGGTATATCGACTTGCCATCCAAAGTTTTGCCAGTGCACGTCCATACTTAACTACTGAATGTGAAGATGTCCTCTTGGTGCTTGGCAGATTAGTACTGTAAGTTTAAGAACTTAAATCACCCTCAAGATTGAATACTTTTGGTTGTAATGTTTGCCTGACTTTTCTTTACAATAGTATCATGTTTTTCAAAGCACCATTTCAGTCAGACTTTTGAAATTTCCTTTGTTCTGAGACTTTTATACTCAGGTTCCCAGGAGATAAAGTACAAGTGAAGCTCCAGTCAAGCAACATAATATTTAATTGCCTCTAGCATTTCTTTTGCCACTTAGAATTCAAGAATGATTTATTTTCTTTTGTCCTCAGATATAGGTCAATTCAAAAGACAAGTATCTGGAAACTTTGGATAGTCTTTGAGGAACACATCATATTTGGAGGGAAACACTGTGAAATTCTGCAATTTAATTATATTACTTGAACTACAAATAATGTTACTAGCAGAAAATATCAGACTACAGTATAAGATTACCACCCTACGAGTCCATGATGATTTCATAGTTATTTTAATATTTGATGTAATATAAACAAAAGTTGATTCTCAGTGATGAAAACCTGAAACCTTCAAATGTTGTAATACAGTGTTACTTTTATAGGCCCTAGTGGCCTATAAAATTATACCTTTAATGTAGCTTTTAACTGCAAGTTGAAAAAATACCACAGCTATTCAGTTTTTAGTTGAGAAACTAATTTGGCTCAGCTAACAGATTGTTTGGAGGGATAACTTAGTATGGTTAGCCCACTTTATATTTCTCTGACCTCTCCTATTTTCCAAAGCCCAAAAACTTTAATACCCTATCTTTATGAAACACAAATATTCCTGGCTTCATAATCCCATTATTATTCTTACCAAGTCCCACTTTCTGTTATTTCCTATGCCAGTCCCTAAAGGGTGAAGTAATATTCTGTAAAATTTTAGAGAGGTGTTGGTTGATTGATATTTTGAGTTGATCTTTATTCAGGTTGTTTTCTTTTTCACTTCTTATTTCTTTTGACTAGTGGTTAGGATTAAAGAAGAATTTTTTTTTCTTGCTTGATTTGCTAAAGATAAATGTCCTTGCCAATCTTTCTGCTACTTCTGCAACTGAGAAGAACCTGTAGAGTGAGAAGAACCTGTATAGATGAACATTTCATATCACTTTTCATGCCGAATTTACAATAGCATGAGCTCCTATCTTTGTCTTATTAAATCAGAAAGTTTCCTATATGGGTACCGCCACATACCCTAATAAACTAAATAAAATGCTTGGAATGTGATTTCTAAAAGGTATATATTCTCACCATATGTATTAAAGCAGCAATGTCAACTTAAAGCTTAATGCTTTTTCTTTTTTCTCTTTTTTAACATTGAATAGCCAATATAACAAAGTTAAAGAAAAAATTGATGAGTAAAAAAGCAAATGTAAATGCTCTAAGCAAACAAATGTAAAATGTGTGTTCATACTATACTTGATTATGACTGTAGCCATCTTTGTTTATTAACTTAGCTATTTGTATTGTAGGAGTTGTTTTGAATTACTTCTTTCAGTGTCTGAAAATGAACTGCCATGTGAAGTCTGGGTACTCTTCCTTCAGTCCCTACAGGTAAGTTGATTTTGGCTCAAAAAAGGTCATATATTGGTGTTAAGTTCATGGATTGAAAAGATGGAGGGGGCATGTTGAAAATTTCTTTCCTTCATTTGGTTTTGTTAGCCTTTATATATCTTTTTTTTTTTTTAAGATTGATTGATTGATTGATTGATTTATACAAGCACTGGGTACAGTCAGAAGCGCGGGAGGGTGAGAGAATTCACCAGAGTCAGAGTGGGGAGCAGAGCAGGCAGAAGGGCCGAAGTACACTGCTGAGGGGAGCAGCGGGCGGCAGGAGAGGTCTGCGCGCCATATGGGACCCTCCTCCAGTGGCCAGGGAGCAGCCGGGGATCGAACCAGTGCTGCAGAGGCTGCAGGCAGCTTCTCAACCCAGCGCTCAACCGCTGCGCTACTGGGGAGGCCCCCTTTATATATCTTAAGTCAACAAATTTTCAGTATACAAAAACAAAGTTTTATACAGAAAAACTTTTTAAATATGTAAATGCCTATAAGTAGTATTTGTCATAGTATACTAGTATCTAATAATTTTCCCCTAATGCCTTAGGGATTATGTTCCTGAGAACATTATATAAACATTGTAAGTCTCTTTTACAACCAAAGTAATCATCACTTTTACTTGAGAGCTACTTTGGATTTCACATTGGTTTTTATTAATCAGCTTTCTTAGTAGGTGAGCAGATCAGAAAGCAGCAAGTTAGGAAGTTCGAATTGGTAACAACAGAAGGCAAATTTGCCTATTACTGCTAGAGACGGAAAAACTTTGGAAAAATAGACAATAGCTATCATTCATTTATTATTACTATGTGCCAAACACTGCTCTATATTACTTTTTATATGTTTTGTGTCTTTTAATCAAATTACAGTCCTTATACAACAGGGATCATTTAATTTCTGTTTACAAATGAGACAGACACAGTACCTTCTTTATGTTTAATACTTTTTGAGGACACAAACCCTGTGGTAGCTTGGACCTGTTTCACATAGGCTCAAGGAATGATTTGCATACCTCAATTTCTGGAAATTAATAGATATATCTCAATATCTAAAAATTTCTTTATCATGCCTCAATATCTAGAATTTAATAGACATGTTTTTATTTGGAAATTTCCTTATTCTGGGATATCTAATCCCAAATGAAATGATAATCATGTTCATGTTTCTGTTTTGGGGAAGAAGAAAATCCTTTGTAATGTTCTTGGCCTATTTTAATACTTATCCTGAAGTCCTAATTCTTCACTTTTCCTTACAGGTTTTAAAATCATCCATCATACATAGCACACTGATTTTGTTCATCTCTGTTTTGAGAACTACCAATAGTTTTGGCGTATGGCATTTGAGAAGGACAAATTAGGGATGCTACTATAGTTATTATTCTGTGTTAGAGAATACTCTCTAATTTCTCTGTTCTTTTCTTAGATTGTATACCTTTTTCCCGACCTGCTTAAATTTTCTGGTATTTATCAGATATTTAAGATATATGTGAATATCTGTTCAGTAAAATAAATGTAGTAGAGGTACAGATACAAGACATGAGCCTATTGAAATCTAAGGTAAACCCTGAAGTTTATTTTAGTGCAAATGGGCAAGGCAGCAAATTCTATTAAGGATACTTATGTTAAGAGAACAGTTTTAGCAGAGCAGATCACAGAGAAAACAATCTTAATTACTACACTGTGTAACCCTTCCAGACTTTCCTGCTATGGTTATAAAAATACAATTTGAAATGGATTTTTAAACAAAAATGAAGTCCTTTTTTTTGCAACTTGCTTAACTTTTATCTATGGACATATGTCTGGGATTACATGTGTAGATCACCATATTTGATAGCTACCTAACATTGTGTTATGTGGTCACACCATAAATTGTTATGTCTGAGCATGATAGTTTCACTTTAAAAAAGAAACAAATCTAAGTTTTAAAAATATTTTAAGGGCCTCCCTGGTGGTGCAGAGGATTAAGATGCAGCACTATGAAGCAAGGTGCAGCAGACCTCGCCTGTCTTGCCTGCTGCTCCCCTCAGCAGTGTATTCCAGTTAATCTGCCTGTTCTCCTCCCCACTCTGTCTCTGGTGAATCCTCTCACCCGCCCAGACCTCTGGTCTGTACCCTGCTTCTTTTATGCATAAATAAATAAATCTTTAAAAAAAAAAAAAAAAAGGAACAAACGATCGGCAATTACATATTTTTTCCTGAGGAGATGAAATGACAGCTAATAATCTAGACTTTCTATAATATTTTATACAGAACTGTCTCCCATTTGAAAAGTCATTTGATGTAAGAATTTAAATAACTAAAGTATATTATAATTGGTGTCATTAATTTTTTTTTTAGAAGCAACAGGATACCTGTGTATATGAATGCTGCAGAATACTTTAAGAGAAAACTGTACCAATGGTTTTAAAATAATTTAGTAATGCAAGGAAGGACATGAATTGAGTTTCACCTAAGGGGTGATTTAGATGAATGTTTTAAAAGTACCCTTTAACTTAATGAAAATATCTTAATTTCATAAGCACACAAAAAGCAGTAATTCACAAAACTTTGAGAATAGTTTTAGTTTTCCCTCATTTATTTTTAGGAAATCCACGATACAGGTCCTTTATAAACATTAAATACATTGAAAGAGCAAAATTCCATTTTATGTTGTTTATTAGCTTGTTTTATGAGCATGCTATTTTTTGTTGTAGGAGTCACATGATGCATTATTGGAATTTGGAAATAATAACCTACAAATATTGGTTCATGTTACCAAGGAAGGAGTGTGGAAAAATCCAATTCTTCTTAAAATTCTGTCTCAACAGCCAGTAGAAACAGAAGAAGGTAAGTCATAAAACTTTACTGACTATATTGAAGGGGAATATTGAGTTCTGAGAGAACTGAAACTGATGGGTTAAAGTTGTGTGAATCTCACCTGTGTATATATAGTTACTCTTGGAGGTTACCATTTTGTAGAGAAATGCAAAGAATACAAATTTTTGTTTTCAAAATTATTGGTTTGAGGGCCTCCCTGGTGGCATAAGGGTTAAGTCTCTGCTTTTACCGCTTTGGCCTGACTTCCATCCCCAGCCAGGAAGCTGACCCACATGGCACAGCAGACCTCACCTGTCTTGCCTGATGCTCTCCTCAACAGTGTATTTCAGTCAGTCTGCCTGTTCTGCTCCCCACTCTGTCTCTGGTGAATCCTCTCACACCCCGCACCTCTGGCCTAGTCCCAACTTCTTGTATCATAAAATAATAAAATAAAATTTTTTTAAAGATTGATTGATTGATTGATTGATTGATTGATTGATTTATACAAGCACTGGGTACAGTCAGAAGTGCGGGAGGGTGAGAGAATTCACCAGAGCCAGAGGGGAGAGCAGAGCAGGCAGACTGACGAGGTACACTGCTGAGGGGAGCAGCGGGCAGCAGGAGAGGTGTGCGCGCCATGTGGGACCCTTGCCTGGTGGCCGGGGATCGAACCGGCACTGCAGAGGCTGTGGGCAGCTTCGCAGCCCAGTGCTCAACCACTGCGCCACAAAGGGAGGCCCAATAAAATAAATCTTTGGAAAAAAAAAAGTGTTGAACTTCTGCTTGGCATGATCAGCAGAGAGATGAGTGGATCATCTCTCCCCAGATTCCAGCCAGGTACAGAAGGCTTTTCTGCTCCAGGCCATCTTAGAAGCCTACCATGGAAAGTGGGCATGGCAAGACCAAGCCAAGACTCCATCGATGGTTCCCAGCCTGAAGCCCAGCACCCATGAAATTGCTGCTGCTTCTAGTGGCGATAGCAACAACCCCCTGAACCCAGGCAGCCCACAGCCCCAGAGACCTCAGCTCCCAGCATCAGTGAAGACCCCAACACCACCATCATAATGGGGTGACTCCCAACTCAAGAGACATCCAGAGTTGCTATCTGTTGTCTGCCAGTTTTTCCAACTGAGTTCTACCCTACCTAGCATCCATTTGTCCCCTTTTCCATAATTTACAATATCTAAACATTGACTTTTCCACCCTTTTCTTGATGCTCAGAAGGGCCAAAACTTTTGCTTTCATTTTTCTCTGTTGCCTACTAAGGATTGAAGAAAAGGGTCCTCTTCCTTACTGTTCAGAGGTACCCTTTCTAAATCAGGCTTAGAAGGACCCATCTAACTCTTACCTCTTCCTGATTGTTTTTCTTTGCCATCCCAGTTTATTTGTTTTCCCCTAGCCACCCTACCTCTGAAGCCATTTATCAATTGCCATTTGCCACCTCAGCCACCAGTAAAAACAAACAGGCTGGGGCTCGAGCTCATGCTGCAGAGGCTGCGGATTGCTCCCTGGCTAGGGATCGAGCTCATGCTGCAGAGGCTGCGGGTGGCTTTATAGTGCGGTGCTTAACCCCTTGTGCCACCAGGGAGGCCCCAAAAAATGATTTTTTAAATGCATGGCTGATTTGTGTTAAAATGTGCTAGAGCAGTGGTTTAACTGTGGTTGTAATATACTGAGTAAAATAGTTTACCTCAGAGATAATAGCTACAATTTGTAGATTTAATAGTACTTGTTATGTGGTAGGCATGGAATTAATGCTTTCCATATCTCAGTTAATCCAGGTTAAAACAAGTGAGAAGTTACGTATACCCAAGGCCATATAGTTAAAATTGGGGAGGCAGAATTTGAACCTATGTAAGAAGAGACTAAACATTCTTTTTTTTTTTTAATAACATTTAGTGTTCTTTTATTTATTTATTTATTTTTAAGGGATTATTTATTTATTTATACAAGCACTGGGTACAGTTAGAAGCACGGGAGGGTGAGAGAATTCACCGAGCCAGAGCTGGGAGCAGAGCAGGCAGAAGGACCAAAGTACACTGCTGAGGGGAGCAGCAGGCGGCAGGAGAAGTCTGCGCGCCATGTGGGACCCTCGCCCGGTGGCCGGGGAGCAGCCAGGGATCGAACCAGTGCTGCAGAGGCTGCGGGCAGCTTCGCAACCCAGAGCTCAACTGCTGCGCCACCGGGAAGTCCCAGAGACTAAACATTCTTAATTGAGGAGTAATAACCTTTCTGTTGCTGAAAACGTGGTTTTATTAAACATATCTACTGTATAAGGCATTATGTTCAATGGCTGTAGGGAATACAAAACTTAACAAGACATGGTATTTATTCACAAATTGCTGATAGTACAATAAGAAAACAAGACAATAGCAACGAGTATTGAGCACTTACTCTGTGTACTAAGTGTCTTATCTGCCTCAGTGGTATTTCATTTATGCTTCTTCCATCTCCATGTGGGACTATTACTAACCTTTTTTATGGATGAAGAATCTTGAGTTCCAGAGAGGTAATTAACTTGTCCAAGAGCCTCATAGCTAGTATGATTAAGCCTCAGATTGGTGATTCTGAAACACAGGAAATTAACCTTTGTATAGTGTACTTAAAGAGAAAAACCAAGTATGGCAAAAGAAAATGCTGTGGGAATTTAGAGGCAGTGGTGGGTTGTATAGATAACGTGATAATTTTCAGGTGTATTGCCTCCTGTGCGATTTGTAAAAATATTTACAGCCTTTCGGGGAGATAAACAGAATTTGGTATTAGGCAGAATGGGATGTAAGGGTGGGAGACACAGGGGGAACTAATATGAAGAATTAGATTGGGGAAAATTTTAAAAAGGTTTGCTAGGACATAATAAGTTGATTTCCAAGGAGCTGGCAAGGAAGGGGGCCAAAAGAAATTAATTTTGGTATGATTGAGAGAATAACATTACTGAAAATAGAAGAAATGGTGAACTATTTGAGTGGGAGATGTTAGTTCATTTGGTGGATCTTAGTAACTGTGAAACTGAAATGGAAAGGGTCAAGTAAAAATGATCTTTTTTTCCATCCATACTTTTTCGTCTTGACTGCATTTAAATCTCAATCTCAATTTCTTTCTCAGTCACACCTCCCCAACCTTCACCCCACAGTCCTGACCTTGTAGAAGTACCACAGGAAATGGGCACCTTCTACCTATTAATGGTGGGAGTATAAATTGCTAGAGATCGTTTTGGCAGTATGAACCATTATTACAGATAAACAAAACCTTTAATTAGCAGTTCCACTTCTGGGAATTTTTTCTGTTGGTATTGTCATGCATGTGTTGAATGTCCTTTGTACAGCGTTGTAAATTACAGCGTTACAGTGCATCTATGCAGTGGAATAAATATTTGGTTGTTAAAACTGTACAGTGATGGGCCTCCCCGGTGGCGCAGCGGTTGAGCGCTGGGTTGCGAAGCTGCCCGCGGCCTCTGTGGCGCCGGTTCGATCCCCAGCTGCTCCCCGGCCACCGGAGGAGGGTCCCACATGGTGCGCAGACCTCTCCTGCCGCCCGCTGCTCCCCTCAGCAGTGTACTTCGGTCCTTCTGCCTGCTCTGCTCCCCGCTCTGGCTCTGGTGAATTCTCTCACCCTCCCGTGCTTCTGACTGTACCCAGTGCATGTATAAACCAAACAAACAAATAATAAATAAATAAATAAGACATGCCTCTAGAAAATTAAAAAAAAAAAAAAAAAACTGTACAGTGATGGTAGAATGACCTGTCTGATAAAGCAAACAAAAAAAAGATTGCCCATAGATACACAGAAGGGTAAGTAGGAAATTTAAAAAGTTACTGTTTTCTTGGAGAAGGAGACTGGAGTTAGGGTAAAAGGGAGACAACTTTTAATTATATACATTTTTTGTGCCTTTTTAATTTTATGACATGTGCATATATGATATTAACCTATTTTTAAAAAGATATGTGTAGTTAAGATTGGGTCAGTGATTTATTCTCTCCATCCCTTACCCCCCACAATTCATCTTTAATATTAATGATTTCTACTCCATTTGCAGCATGAGTATCACCTGTTAGTCTTGTTAAAAAAGCAGAATCTCAGGTCCCATCCCAGACCTACTGAATTAGAGTCTGTTTTAATAAGATTCCCCAGTGATTTAGGAGACATTTTTGAGAAAAATTATTTTAGATGAATCATCTGAAATAGTTTGTTCATTACCATTTGTCTTGACATGCTGTATTCCCACCTCTAGTCTTTAAATAATAATTGTAATGATGCCACACAGTTGTTACTATCTACTTTTTTTTTTTTTTAAGATTTATTTATGCAAGAGCTGGGGTACAGGCCAGAGGTGCGGGAGGGTGACAGAATTCACTGTTCTGCCTGGGAGCAGAACAGGCAGACAGACTGAAAGCACTGCTGAGGGGAGCAGTGGGTGCGAGACAGGAGAGGCCGGGAATCGAGCCCGCACTGCAGAGGCTGCGGACAGCTTCACAGCACTGTGCTCAACCCGCTGTGCCACCAGGGAGGCCCTCTATATACTTTTAACTCATGGACTTATCCAGGGCAGTATCAAATCAGTGCTCAGGTGCTTGATATTCAGCATTTTCCAAAGTGTGTACTGAACCAACAACGTAATGGTTTTCATTGTACTAATAATATGTGCAAAAGGGTTCTCTGGTCAAATCAGCTTGGGAAACATTGGGTTAAAAAAAAAATGAACAGTTTTCTTTATTGCAGGACTGTTCAGAGATTTGACCAAGGAATCCTTTTTTTTTCTAGGACTATCTCTCAGGTCTTTTGGTCGGTGGAACACACTTTGAGAAATGCCTGGTTTAGAGGAAAGAGCACCACTGGCTTTGGAATCCTTGGCAAGTTACTGAATTTCTCTGAATATCGATTTTCTTAACCTTAAACTGGGAATATAATACTTGCCTTGGTGGTGGTGTGAAGAATAAATGAGAGGTATATAAAAACAGTTTAAAGCTTGCTACCTCAGAAGTATCAAGTGGTACCATTCAAATGGTAGTTGTTAATATTACATCTTTTTTCTTGCAATTACACTTATAGTTCATTTCTCTATTCCTTCATATCCTTATTAGGAAATGAGGGAGAAGGTCAATTAATTTTGAAATATTTATTTTTGCATAGAAGAACTAGGGTGTAGGCCAGAGGTGCTGGGGGTGAGAAGATTCACCAGGGGCAGAGTGGGGAGCAGAACAGGCAGATCCACTAAAGTACACTGCTAAGGGGAGCTGCAGGCAAGACAGGAGAGGTCTGCTGCACCATATGTGGGTTAGTTCCCTAGCCGGGGATCGATCTCAGGCCTTAGTGGTGATAGCACTGAGGCTTAACCCCTAGGCCACAAGAGAGTCCCCTCAAATAATTAATTTTGATGAAATGTTAGTAACTTTATTAAAAGGCTTTGTGTTCAAAATTAAGCAAAAGTATAAGAATAATTAACAAAATTTATTTTACTCTCTGCTCTAGTAGATGAATATTGAGACCAGCTTAAGCTTCCTAGTTATATTCAGGTCTTGTTATTCACCAAAACAACAGAAAGTATCAAATTTTCATTTTAATAATCTTGACATTTTATATGATATGTTGTCAAATTTATTTTTCCTTTTATTTTCTAGTCAATAAATTGATTGCACAAGAAGGACCTTCCTTTCTGCAAATGCGGATAAAACATTTGTTGAAATCTAACTGCATTCCCCAGGCTACTGCCTTATCAAAACTATGTGCAGAATCTAAAGAAATTTCAAATGTGTCATCTTTTCAGCAAGCCTATATTACATGCTTATGTTCCATTCTCCCTAATGAAGATGCTATTAAGGAGGTAAGTAAAGCAAGTAACTGCTACTATCATTCACACTTACTATGAATATAATAGATATTGATAAATGTTGCATGGCAGAATTAAAATTAAGACTTTTTAGTTTCTTGAAAGTGCTATCTTAATTGTATATTTAACTGTTTAGCAAATTGAATGTGATGTCTTATAGGTTGATTTGAAAGGAGATAATTTATGTGTCTGGGTGACAATTTGCTTTGAAATCTTTAAATGTGAAGTGTTTTAATTTTTCCAAAAGTCCTGATTTCTCTATTTGTGAAATGCAGAAATTATTAATACTGGCATCAAGTGATTAAATAAAGAGAATGGCACTTAATATAGCTTAAGTTACTTTTATATTTAGTTCTGTAGGCAGAGAAGTATAGGACTTTAGAATCCATGAATACATTTCAAACAGTGATTAAGTGTTCAGACTTGATACCATGGAAATAATAAAGTGAATGAGTGATTTTAAAAACTTTTGTCAGATTGTGGTTTGATTCTCCATAATAGGGGTTAAAACTGTGGCCTGTGTGTCCGATCTACCAAACCACCTGTTTTTGCAAATAAACTTTTACCGGAACACAGTCATAGCCATTTATTTATTGCTTTTGCTCCACAATGGCAGAGTTGAGACCATCTGACCCTTTACAAAAAATGTTTGTTGACCCTTGTTTTACAAGCATCAGTTTTTTAGTGTATTACAACCATTAAATATAATTTAATCTAATCCTCCATGTTTTTATGAGTGATGAAACCAAGACCAAGATGGCATTGTTTTCCAAGGCCACCTGCATTAAGCTAATTATGGAGTCGAGGCAAGAATGCAGATTACTGGCCAGCCTCTCTATATTGTACCACTTATTGTCACTTGGTAAATATGGATGAGCTGTGTTTTAACTGAAAGTATCTTAATGGGATATCATCTCATTTATAATTATACAATTATGTGTCATTTAAAACATTTTTATTGATTAGTTAAATATGTCAATGCAAAAATTAGCACACATCATAAAATTATTATTTTTTAATGATTTATTTATCATGCATACAAGAACCGGGGTATAGGCCAGATGTGCGGGAGGGTGAGAGGATTCCCCAGGGAGACAGAGCGGAGACCAGAACAGGCAGACTGACTGAAATACACTGCTGAGGGGAGCAGCAGGCGAGACAGGAGAGGTCTGTTGTGCCATGTGGGTATCTTGCTGGCCGTCCAGGGTCGAACCCACGCTGCAGAGGCTGTGAACAGCTTCATAGCGCTGCGCTCAACCGCCTGAGCCACCAGGGGAGGCCCGTCATAAAATTATTTTAAAAGGAACACTGGTACATCATTAGTTTCTGATCCAGTAATGTTTTCTTTTGAAAGTGACAACATAATTTTAAACAGAATCTTTAAAATTTGCTTTGGGAAAGTTCTAATGAATCACTAGCGTTCATTAATTGGAGTTTAAAATCAGCATATGTTCTAAAGTAACAGAATTATGCACATACTATTTGCCATTTGCTTCATCTGATTCAGGAGCAGAGTCAAATTAGCTTGAGCAACAGCTGGGAATTAAAGTACTTGTATGTTGACACCTGTGGGTATCCTAGTAAATAAAGGGTTTGTGTAATGGGAAACCTCTACTGGGGAAGATTTAGCCAGACACATACAATTAAGATTAATTGACAGGGTCAACTCTAGCCAAAATTCAGAACCTGGAACTCAGAACCCCATAGAATGCTGGAGTTCTGTGTTAAATATGAGAGAGAATTGAGTTAGATAGAATTGAGTTAGAATTGAGATGATAATGTCATTAATTTTACATATGGAAGTATTTTAATGACAGTTACAGACATTGCCATGGCCAAGTAGTATCCCAAGTAGATGTTTCCTATTTTCATTGTTAAAAGGAAATCTTTGCAAAGATCAGGTTTTCCACATATAATATGAAAAGTAATAATGTTCAAACATAAATTACTTATATTATTTTGAAGGATCAAGAAATGTTCACAGTTAAGGTAGGGGCTCTTTAAATTTTGATCCCTAAGTGAACTACATCTTCATTGTCCAATGTTGTTAATAGACGTGGTAAAAGTCTTGTTTCTTCTTTTGATAAGGGAAGGAAAAGATAAACAGTACCTAATTTACTCACAGTCTAATACTGTTGGGAATTGACAATCACTAGGTGTAAATGATAAACAGAGCAAGTACATTTAAACAGGACCCAGTGGGACTTCAGTTTGGAAGAGAAGAAAAAGTAAACAAGAGCATAGAAATTCCAGGTGTTGCTTTAATAAGACTCAAGAATTAAGGATCCTGAACAAGGAATAATTACAAAGTATATAAATTAATTTAAAATTGAAGTCTTAATTTTACTTTATTCTTATCACTATATGGGGAATGTGATGTACACTCAAAAAATGCTCAAGATATAAAGACTGAAGAAATTGAGGGTTTGCATCTTAACTATTCTTCCTCCTTAATACAGTTCTATTAAATAGCTTTGAAGAAATAGCGTCCCAAGACTTAGTATGTATCTAGTTCTCACTCTGGGCTTACTATGGGTTATGTGTGGACATTTTGGTTAATGTTATGATTATACCGCTGAGGTTGTTATGAAAAGTTAGCCACACGTGTTGTGCTTAAGAATTTAGTAGGATATTTTAGGCTTTTTTCAGATACATTCAGTTAATGCAAGCATTAACAAGTGACAAAAGAAAAAATAAATAGAACTTTGTCCAACTTTGTCATTCAAAGGCCAACATCCAGAAATTAAAATTTGATCCACACAGAAGAAAATATTGCAGACCATACACCTGATAAAGGACTAGGCTCTAGAATATACAATAGGTGCGGGCATGATGTTTCATTCAACATCATTTAGTTATAATGTTGATGAGGAAAATAATAGTCCTGACCAGTGTTAAATGATGTTCATTAGAGGACCTGGTTCATTGAGGACCTAGTTTTGTTACATGTCATTTAAATTAAAGTCTGTTTCCAACAATCAGTTGACAACATTGAGGGTTTACTGTAGTTGGAATCTTGCAGTATGTAGCATTTTAAGACTGGCTTCTTTCACTTTGTATTATGTGTTTAAGGTTCCTATATGTCTTTCCATGACCTGATTGCTTACTTGCTTGCTTTTACTATTTTTTTGTTGTTGTTGTTATTACCATTGCTGTCTATTAAAAAATCTTTTTTTAACCTAGCAAAGTTCATGATTAGATTTTACTCTGTGTTGTACTTTCTGTGCATTAAAGTCTAATATGTACTGTTGTCTGAAGTTCTTGATAGTCTAATCCTGCTGCTTATTGTATTTATTATTACATTTTCTTGAGTGACTTGATTATTTGTGTTTTTTATACTTCGTAATTCTGAGTGTAGGTTTGGTAGAGTAAGTGGGGGAGAGTAAAGAGTGCTTTATGTCTGAATTCTAGTAGACATTAGCATATGTCTCTATAAATCAGTTTTACATTTTACTTCTGCCAGGTGATTTAGAAATTTTGCTAGTCAAAATCTTCTTTTTATTTCATTTTTCTCAGTTTGGGGTTTTTAGGAATCAGAATGGTGTTATGTTAAACTCCAGTTTGAATGAGCACAGATTATAAAATCTCAAAAATACCTTTATCCCACCAAAACACAGCTTGAAATTGACAAAATTTTCCTGTTGTACCTCTGGCTTTAACTCCCTCCACCCCTTTTTAAAATTTACCTTTTCTGACTTTCTAGTCCTTAAAGGATTCCAATTGTATGTGCAGTGTGTGCTAACTTCTTGTCCCTGATCATATCCAAGCTTTATCATTTCCTATCCACAATTATAAAACCCAACCCTCTTAGTTGATGAAATTATCAGTGATCCAGCAAGTTAGGGCAGTTGTCCAGTCCCAAACATTTTCCACTCATTGTGATTTCTATTAGTTCTTGAGTGTTTAACATTCATTTATAAAAGATATTTTATATGTTTTACCAAGGATTTCTCAGTGCTTTCCCTCAGGAGAATTTTCAGGTATGACTCTTGTCAAGTTTAACTCCTTTATTTGTATTCCTTATTTAACATCAGGGCTGGTAGAAAGATACATAACCATTACATAAATACATAAATAATTTATAAGGTGAGGTGGTATATCTTTGTCAACTGAGTTCCAGCACTAGCTATTTCATACCTTTATCCTAAGTTTTAATACTGGTAAATCCAAATGCCATTGATAGTGTTTGTGTATGATTTATATTTCAATATTATTTAGCATATCAGACTTTTGTTAAAAAGTACATTTTGATAAGGGAAGATGTGAAGAAACTTTAGTATTTGAAAGATGCTTACCATGTGAACATTGTGTGGAAGGAATGATCCTGAATGGTCTTTCAAATGCTTCTCATTTCTTGGTAGGTTCTGCTTACAGTTCATTCATTTCAAGTCAGTAAATGTTTAGTGATTACCCTTAGGGGAAAAAATCAACATATTCCTTATCTTAAAAAAAGCACACCATTGGGGAAAATCAAGGTGTACAGTTTCCTTCCTTATTCAGTCATAATGTGTTGTCAACTTTACTGTTAAAATATGTCAATATAGTATTATGGTCCTCAAATAACATTCTAATGTTGATAAGAAAAAAAAATCAGTTCCCTTCTGAGGTCACTGTCTACTCTGTAGAGTCTGCACATTTTCCCTGTGTTTGCATGGATTTTCTCTGGGTAGCCCTGCTTCTTCCCATATCCCAAAGAAGTGCATGTTAGTTAAGTTCACTGTCCTATTTCAGTTGTCCCAGTGTGTGTGTGTTTGGGGGTGGTGGGGGGGGGCGGAGACAGCGAGAGTGCATGCGAGCACTAGCTCTGCAGTGTAATGGTCTGTCCAGGGTTGGTTCCCACTTTGTGCTCTGAGTTGCTAGAACAAGCTTCAGTCACCCTTGACCCTGAACTGGAATAAGTTAGAAGTGTTTTGGGTCTTTATATATAAATTTGATGGTGTTTTTGTGAGCAGAAAGATGCCACTGGCCTATAATAAGCCAGTTAGCCTATAATATGCTATTTTTGTTATATGTGATTTCATTTAAAATCAGATTTACCAAGAACCTCTCTATGATGCTACATGAGCACTTAAAGTTGGCCTGATAATGAAATTTCTGACTGAGAGCCCTAAATGTATGTTTTCTTACATACATTTTTATTATCCACTAACTTGACTGTTTTACTTCCAGGGTTTCTATTGTAAAAGTAGGACTAGTTTATGGTTACAGTTTTTGTACAGCCTTGTCATTCAAGAACTCATTTGCCTGACATGCACTTACTTGAACTAATAAAACACTTTGTTTAACCAAGTAATAAAAAAAATTCTACAAATGAAGGAACTGAAGCCAGGGTTTCTTCAAAGTCTATTATTTGCCCAGCCTTTCATTCACTGAGTGCAGCTACTTGGTAAATAGTATTCTTTACAGTCATATCAATAACCTTTCCCTTCTTCATAGATCATGATTCTTCTGACATTTGTTATTTTACTCATTTTGGCATCTTTTGGGGGGTTAGCCCCACCCCACCCTTACACATCTTGACCCCGATTTCCATCCTCCCAGAACCATTTTCCTTAAAACTTTCTGTGCTTACTCCAGTTCATGTTATTGTTCCTGTCTTCAATCTGCCCCACTTACTTATCCTGACCATTTCATGTTCACTAAATTATTTATCTTATAGTTATGTTATTCCAACAAATATTTATAATGTTCCCTCATGTGCCTGACACTTGTAGACACTGAAGTTACAGTAGTGAATGGAACAAACTTTTACCCTAATGGGACATATTTTTGAGTGGGTTGGCTGGGTCTATTTATTTACTTTTATTTCTTTATCAAGCTTCCTTTTCCACTGTATACAAGAAAATACAGATCTGGGGCAAATACTGGATTCTCTGCAACTAACAGCAATGTTAACATCTTGCTTATTTGTCATGGAAAAAATGTTGAAGCAGACATTAAGGGGCATAAATGCATTTAAGATACAGTACCTAATTTTTAGATGGCTTTGTATTTTTTTGTAATCCCCTGCTCCCTCATTTATTATCCATGACTAGACTCTAAGTCCCATGAGGGCTAAAGTTACATTGATTTTATCCCCAGTACTTCCATGGTGCAGGTACTTACTAAATAGTACTGCTTTGACAAAAATAAACATTTTAACATGCCTTGTTTGCCACTTTACATGATATTGTGCAGGAGGATTTTGGATATCATTTATAGCACTGTGCTCTTTTCCTCGTAGTGTAGTTCAAGAAGGCAAAGTAAAAGCACATTGAAAAGTAAAATAATAAAAGGAAGGGGCCAGTATTCAGTACTAGTTCAAAAGTTGACCAAAATTAGAATAAATAATAGCCCAATTAAAAGTATTGATAAGGGCCTCCCCGGTGGCGCAGCTGTTGAGCGCTGGGTTGCGAAGCTGCCAGCAGCCTCTGCAGCGCCAGTTCGATCCCCGGCTGCTCCCCGGCCACTGGAGGAGGGTCCCACATGGCGCGCAGACCTCTCCTGCCGCCCGCTGCTCCCCTCAGCAGTGTACTTCGGTCCTTCTGTCTGCTCTGCTACCACTCTGGCTCTGGTGAATTCTCTCACCCTCCCTCGCTTCTGACTGTACCCAGTGCTTGTATAAATATATAAATAAACAAACAAACAAACAAAAAAAGAGTATCTATAAAAAAAAATAAAAGTATTGATAAGATTCTGTGAGTTCAGAGTGGGGCAGTAAATCACAGGATGCTAGAGTAGTATATGAAGATAGACTTCATAATAAAAGGATTTCAATTGGATAGCAAAGGATGAGAAGACTAGATTAGGCAGGTGAGAGAAGGAGGGATCTTACAGGACTATTACATATTAACTTGTAGGCGGTTTTCATCTATAGACTATTTAATAAATAGAAATCGTGCAATTATGTGCCTTGTAAGGTACCAATCCAGGTTTTTTCCATCATTTCTTCCTTCCCCATAATTTCAGGTTAGTGGGTTTTTACTTGAACTATGTAGTCTTAATTCACTTCATTTGTTTCCTCTTTTCTTTGGCTCCAAAAAATGAAAGCCTATATATATGTTTCTGAAGTGATTTTTTTTTTTTATGTAGTACCTCCCTGTAGAGAGAAAATTACATGAGATTAGTTTTTCATTTTGTTTATTATTTTTGATTATTTGCCACAGTTATCTTGATAAGAAAGTTCTTTCTAGTTCACTTTTACTTGTGAAGTAGAAATATTGCCTGCCTTGACAATCTTAAACATTTATCATGTTGACAAAATGAGATATGTAATAAAAAATTATGTGAAAATAGTAAAAAAAAAGTTAAAGAAATACAAGTTGTATGTTATTTCCACCATGATTTATATGTCTGACTTAGAGAGTTCCTTATGTTACTTCTCAGCTTGAAGATGTTACATTGCTGCCCAAATTGAATTTTAGAATTCTTGGTTTTTGACAGGAGGTTTAACATGGCATTGGTGGTAGGAAGTGGTGCTGTTTTCTCTTGCTAAGGAACTCCCATTTTGTTCCTTCAGTCATTGCAATCTTTAAGTATCCATGTGGTAGACCTTTACTCTCTGCATACCTATTCTGATTCATTCAACTATAGTTGAGGATCTATTTGTTTTCAGTAAAATCTTATCTTCATAATGTATAATGGAGGTTTTCCCCGTATTCTGAAAACAGTTTATTTTAGACTTTAACAACTTAATTTGTCTCCTAGTATTTGTTCAATAAGAAATTTTATTAAGTAATCCCATAATTGAGATTTGCATCTGAGATTGATTTTTTGAATTTCTTTCTAGTATTAAGGTTCATTTTCTTGTTATCTTCCTCTTAATATATATATATATTTAATAAAACAATTTTAATAGCACTTTTATATTGCTCCATTTGCCAATCCCCTTTAAAACATTGATTCTAAAATAACTCTGAGGAAAGTTCTATTATCCCCATTTTACAGATGAGGAAACTGAGACTAAGTTTCTAAGAAAGATGTGTAACTCATTCAGGATCTACAGCTAGTAGCTATAGATTTGGAAGGAAAATATAAACAATCTGGCTCTTGAATAATTGTTTTTAAACCACTACACTTACCCTATGCTGTTTATAATGTTATCATGCTGTCTTTGAAAAGATTAGAAAACAAATTGTATAAGGTTTGCCTTGTAAACATAATCTTTTCTCTGATATAACTTGATTCATTTACTTCCTTCAGAAAGTATTTACATGTCCTGTGTTACACTGTGATAAGTGCTGAGTTTTTAACATGATATATGTAGCCCTGACTTCACGGATTTTATATTCTAGCAGAGTGACAGATGCTAATAAGTTGCCCAATAATGACTGAATTGCAGCTCTGAAAATGCTTTTGAGGAAGAATTTGAGAGTAGTTTTTGATGGGGATTCTAGTATGGTCTAAGAAGTTAGAGGAATCTATGAGAAAGTGAGCTAAGCTTTGAAAGAAGCCTGTGCCTATCTGAGAGTGTGGCTTTTGAGAGACTTAGAACCACCTATTGGAGCTGCATAGCACTCTGGGGCTAGGGGAGCTGAGCTGAGCTCTGTATACCTCATTTGCCTTTATACACACCTCATTTGTCCTGAAATTATTGTTTTATGTATTTGATGCCCAGTAAAATTGTTGTTTATATTGCCGATAAAGTCATAAAATAAATTGTTCTTCATATTGTTTATTCTAGAAGACTTAACTGTTGGTTAACATAGAAAAAAATAATACTCCTCTAATTCTTGTCTCATTAATTATCAAAGACAGAACATGTTATAAGGAAGCTTCACACTATATAATGCAATTTACAAAAAAGTCACCATTTTCTTTTTGACTTAGTCATCTCATTTTTGATAGATTGCAAAGGTCGACTGCAAGGAAGTTCTAGACATCATATGTAATCTGGAATCCGAGGGTCAGGATAACACAGCATTTGTTCTTTGTACGACTTACCTTACCCAGCAGCTCCAAACTGCAAGTGTATATTGTTCTTGGTAAGTATATTTAGTTTTTGTTCCCCTTTATTTGTTAGAACATAGCATAGCACTTAGGATTTATGTAAAACATAAGTTTATTTTAAAGTCTATAAACAAATTAAATGTTTACATGTAAATAAAATCTACTCCCATAAAACCTTTTAATTAAAAATATTTTTTGTTTAATCTTTTCAGAAAGAGTCCAAAAACAAAGGGTAAAAAGTTTGAGCAACTCTTTTTTTTTTTTTTTTTTTTTAAGATTTATTTAGGCATACAAGAACTGCAGTTCAGGCCAGAGGTGTGGGGGTGAGAGGAGTCACCAGAGACAGAGTGGGGAACAGAACAGACAGACTGAGTGAAATATACTGCCGAGGGGAGCAGTGGGCGAGACAGGAGAGGTCTGCTGCGCCATGTGGGTTGCTCCCTGGCCTGGGATCGAACTCCTGCTGCAGTGCTGCGGATAGCTTCATAGGTTGCATCTTAACCCTTTGCGCCACCAGGGAGGTCCCATGAGCAAACTCTTAATTAAATCATAGAGAGTCGTCTCTTAACACCCATATAAATCTTGTTTGAAGATAAAGTTATGGCAGTTTGAAACAAATTAGTGCTCTGTTGCTTTCCTTTATATTTATTATGGCTTCTGATAGTAACTTTCCCCATTTTGTATCAAAATCCAACTAATGAAAAGGATTGATTATTTAGGTTTCCAGGTCAAATGTGTACTAAAGAAGGAAATCTATTTCAAGAATAATTTCCTTTGTAATTTTGGTATGTACTTTGTAGTAGAATTATGTAATTTTGGTTTTAAATCCTTTTATATCTTACTTGCCTACAAACTATTTAGTTGGTAAAAAGTAAGTGTAACCCATGATTCTTGCATTCTAACTATATTGAATCTGTTTAGGGCAGAGCAACAAACCTGATATATAGGAAAGCTCTACAGAATGGAAGATTGTCAATAAATATCAGATTAGTGCTATAGGAAATTAGGGAAATGTACTCACTCCACCAATGTTTAAGAAAGGTATTAGAAAGGAGGTAGTATTTGAAATTTAAATCAAAGAATGGATTGGATGCATAATCTCGATTAGGGGACCCCCTGAATATTTCATAAAGGAAATAAAGGAAGGATGCCTTGCATTTGAAAAAGAGCATTTTGTTTAAAGCTTTTTATGTACTTCAGTTCTCATTGATCTCCCTCTGGAGCATTCATTTTTATTTGTATAGTTTCATTATTAGTAATGTTTTGTATGTAATTATATGAAAATATTTTTATTTTACTTTTTGTATAAAAGTGATTTTTATTCTATGTACAGTCAATTGTATAAAATACTTATATATTTAAAAATATTAGTTGTGTACTATAAAATGTACCACCCAGTCTTCATAATAATCATTGTGCGGATGTGTCAGTGCAAGATGAGAGAAATCAAGAAGTCTTGTGATTGCCCAAGGTGTCAAGGCCAAAGTGGTAGAACTGAGATTTAAACCCATGGTTTTTGACTCCTAATCTAGTGCTTATCTTCTGTGCCATTGTTTTCTTGGGTGAGAATTCAATTTGCTGTCTTCTACCACAAAATCCACTATCCTGGAGTTTCATCTCCTATGACAAAGGGGGTAGTTGGCCAGGGTCTTAAATATATTCTGTAATAATTATTGTGGGCATTTTGTTAGGAAACAAAAAAGGAATGATAGAAATTAAAAGAATTGTTAAGTCACAGTAAGGTTTTAGATCGCCAGATCAAGTAGAGAGGGGTGTTTTGTTTTATTTTTTTGTTACTGTATAAGAAATTTTTTAGCCTTGGTAAAACAAAATTGGGAGAGAAACCCCACAAATCATTTCCTTGCCTTTAATGAAAAAAATATCTGCTAGTTATAGCTAGGTTTTCAATGTAAAGAATATATCTTATATGGTATGTGTCAACACATTATGAAATGTTTTAAAACTGTAGTCACATAGGGCCTCCCTGGTGGCACAAGGCATTGAGACACAACCTATGAAGCTATCCGCAGCCACTGCAGCACGAGTTCAATCCTTGGCCAGGGAGCTACCCACATGGCGCAGCAGACCTCTCCTGACTTGCCCGCTGCTTTCCTCAGCAGTGTATTTCAGTCACTCTGCCTGTTCTGTTCCCCACTCTGTCTCTGGTGACTCCTCTCACCCCCCACACCTCTGGCCTGTACCCCAGTTCTTGTATGCATAAATAAATCTTAAAAAAAAAAAACTATAGTCACATAATTCTTTTCATATTCCTGATGCAGCTCCCATTTACATTATCCCATACCTTTTTACTTCCCTTCTCTCAGCCACCATTAGCCCTTTAAAGGGTGTTAGTGCCTCTAGGGTTAATACTGCTCCTCTGACACAGGAAGGGATTAATAGGAATTTCCCTTTTGTTGGCCTCCTGAATAGTTATAATGAGTCAAGGAAAGAAAATCTTAAGTAACTTGACATTTTGTGAAAAGTAAGCCTCTTCTAAGTGATTCACAAAGAAATAGAATATAAAATTTGAGAATTTAGAAGCTTTTTTTTTTTTTAACCTTTCTATTGTTTCCAAGTTTTTGTTTCTTAGGTGTTGTGTTTTTTTTTTTCCTTTTGATGGACTATTGAAGATAGAATAACTTTAACATAAAATAGTGAATTTTAGTAAGGAAAATAAATCCCAGAATTCTGCTCAATAGAATACATTCTTGTGCTGGAGATTTCCTATGTTGAACATAGTGGGCTATATATAGAGTATTTGTCTAGAAAAGAATTTCTCTCTCAAAATTAAATGGTATTTTTAATGCGACATCAAAATATATAAAAACATCACAAAGTTGAAATATGATTATAAAAATTGTCACTTAATTTTAAGCACCTCTATAGAATTCATTTAGTTGAAGTGACATTCTTTTATATTTTTAAAGATTTATTTATTTATATATACAAGAACTGGGTGTAGACCAGAGGTTTGGGGGGTGGGTGAGAGGTTCATCAGAGAGAGTGGGGAGCAGAACAGGCAGATCTACTGAAATATACTGCTGAGGGGAACAGCAGGTGAGGCAGGAGAGGTCTGCTGGGCCATGTGGGTTGCTCCCTGGCCGGCCAGGGATTGAACTCTTGCGGCAGTGGTTGGCAATAGCTTGATAGCTCTGTGTCTTTAACCCCTGTGCCCCCAGGGAGGCCCTGGAAGTGATATTCTTGAATCTGTCAGCATGGATTACAGTATTTGAAATGTAAACTATGTAACTATCACACAAAATACTTTTCCATCCATTTGGAATTTTTGTTCAGACAAATCCCAGTGGATTTATAAACTACAATAAAGTACTTTATAATATTCACCATGTCATTGACCTCAAAAGGTATACTGCTTAATTTATTCATAACATTGGCTCCCAAAGATTTTTGACTATCTACAAAAGTCAAAGAGATGCTGGAGGGATGAGCCCCTTATAGTTGTCTGCCAATGGTAGAATAGATTAGTCATGCAAGTGAGAAGGACAACAATTTCAAATGGGACAGTATACATACAGATGTGTAATTAACCACTATTACTTTGAAAAATAAAATCATGCATTTGAACCATAGACATTACTTATATATTTAAAATAGGTTAACCTTTGCTTTCTGTAACATCTGAGCATTTTGTATTTACACAGTCGTGTCTCTTTAAATGTAATTTCATGTCTGTTTTCCCCCAACTAGACAGTGACATGCTAGGGTTGTGTATGCTGTGTAATCCACAGTTGTTTCCCCTAGCACTTGGTGAAGACCAGATTCCATGTTTTATTTAACTGAATTTTATAGGGGAAAAACAAGGTCATGGCAATTAACTATATTATTTGCATTAGCCTTCTTTAGGGGATCATTACTCCTTAATTTCATAATGTTTTCTTTGCCACATTTCTAAAATGCCTAAATTCTGAATCTCAGTGTGACACATTAACTAACTTTATGGGCCTCCTGATATGCAGAAACACATAGTTTAAAGTTCTTGCTTGACAGCTAGATCTCTGCCAAAATGTGTTTCCTTCTGTTAATAATAGAACCAAATTTCCGTTCTAATTTTTATGAGTTTGTATGTAATTGTTGACTCAAGGTATGAAGTGGACTAATTTGAGGGAGCAGTAAATCATCTCAACAGTAGAAGCATCCGTACAGTGTTATCAGTTTCAGTGGTTGTCCACTTAAAAAAAATCACATTACTATAGTAATACAACTATTTGCTCTACTACATATATGATCTAGCAGGCTATAGGATGGTTTCATTCTTCCAATGTGCATATTTGAGTGACTGATTCAGGTGACATCTGGGCATTCTCATGAGTAATGCCTGGTTGTCCTGGTTTTAGATATCTTTATATGTCTGGGTAGGTCTTAAATCATTGAATTGGAACTATACTATGCAAATACATGCACAGATGAAATATGCATCTGTTTTTGATCATGGTTATTTGAAGTTAAGAAAACAAGAGGTTGGTAAGTTTAATTTAAAATAAATCAAGCACTGGACATTCTGTTTTGTTTTGTTTTTTTTTTATTTGAGAGACCTTAATTTGTAGTCTGCCCTTTATCAATTTTATCAGATTTGCCTAACTCAAAATTCCTAACTAGTTGATCAATTTTAGATAGTAGTGGACATCCCTTACCCTTTATCTTCATAATCAGGTTTTACTGACTGATAATTTTGTTCTTTTCAAATAGAATCGATTTCATATACATACTTTTGAGAGAGATTCCTTTTTATCTATGAGCATATATCTATGAGCATATTTCCTGTTTCCTTTTTTTTCTTCAAATGTTGTAATAGTCTCAACTTTTTACTACTAAAATGTTTGTAAGCTGAATAAGGCAATCTTATGAGTTTAAAAAGGAGCATCGTACCAATTATGTGTCTGTCTGGTAGCTATTTTCAATGCTGACCTATCTCAGTTTTCACTTTACTGGGTAGGAAAGCAACACAAATCACTGAAGACAAATATTTAATGGCATTTTAAGTTAATTTTTTGCTATAATTCAAATTTGCCATCACTAAATATCAGCTTTATTTTCAGTCTGTTGAAAGGAGGTTTATTCACTTTTTAACCTTTAGGTCTGTCCCCACCTTCTGAAAAAAGTATTAATAGCAATATAGGCTATAAATATTTCATAATTGACATGAAAGAAGGTTTTCATGAAAGTTATTTAACAAATAGTATCCACTGAAGTTGTGTTACAGAAAACAGCCTTTTTTTCTTTTTAAGCAATAACATTCTCTTCAATTTTGCTAAGTAACCTTCCTTATATTCTTATTTCATGCTCACTTTAGCATCTATCTTGGGCATTCCTGAGTTTCTAGTACTTTTCCTTCATAGTCTTTACCCATTAAATGTTCTTAATTTAAAATTCTTTCTTTTTTTTTTTTTTTTTTTTTCTTTTTTGTGGGACCCTCGCCGGTGGCCGGGGATCAAACTGGCGCTGCAGAGGCTGCGGGCAGCCTCGCAACCCAGTGCTCAACCACTGTGCCACCAGGGGAGGCCCAAACATTCTTTTCAAGCTTTTCTTTGCTTCTGTAAGACATGTTGGTGGGATTCTCATTTTTTCAGCCAAGAGTTTTGTTTCAAGTGTGTTATTCTATTAATTTTATTGGTTAATATTTTAAAAATCCAAAATACAGACCTAAGTATCATCATGACATCATGGAGTTGGAAAGGGCCTATGAGATTGGTGTGAAGAACTGTACCGTTAGAATTTTTACTATTGATAGTTGTATACATTTTGTTGGCAGTATAGGGCTGGCTGTCTTATGATTCCTGGCCACCAGGATGGCATTTAATTCAGTCAGTATAATTATCATTGGCACAAAATGGGGTCCAAGTAAGTCTTTGGGCACAAAAGGGAGCTAAGTAAGTCTTTCAGAATGTTAGCATAAATCAAGTAGTCTTTTGTTGTTTTTATTTTTCCCCAATCACGAAGGAAATAGGGGAATTTTCAGGGAGGATTCTAATTTTACCAGTTTGGGAGGTATTGACAGGGAATAAAGGCAGCTTTTTCTTGTAGTTTTTGTTTAATCTCAACTTATTTTCATAAACCATAAAAAAAGGAGGGAGGGAAGGTTGATAGTAGATACCCATTTTGCTTTAAATGTTTCACCTTAATCTTTTCTTTCTTTTTTAATATCAGGGAATTGACTCTATTTTGGAGTAAACTGCAAAGAAGAATCGACTCTTCTTTAGACACTTTTTTGGAGCGCTGTCGTCAGTTTGGTGTCATTGCTAAAACACAGCAGCATTTATTTTGCCTAATTAGAGTTATACAAACTGAAGTAAGTAATTTGTGCTTTATTTATGGTGATTGTCCCTGAGGAAAGAAATGAGTGTGGAGATAATTTCTCAGACAAATCCTTTTAGATAAATGGGTGTAATAAAATTATGGAATTGGATTTAACTAGCTGTTTGTGAAAACTGAATTCCTAGAAATCCACAATTTTTCTTAATGGAAAATAATGATTCAAAGTGACAGATCTCTGGAGGAAAGGAAGATAATGTTTCTTGGCTGTCTACTAAACCACCCTATAATCTACCTTTCCTAGAACAGTGTTCTAAATTTTATACAGTCATGTTTGTTTGCAAATTAACATGATAATTATAAGTGAAGAAAATACAACTTTTTCAACTAGGGATGGAGTGATGTTTTTTCTTGGTTTTGAAGTAATAGACTTTACACAAATTGTAAACTTCTCTGTAAACAGGAAACAAATTGGATATTTTTTTGAAAACAGTATTTCCTAAAATGAAAGTATCATATATAAATTTTTTTTTTTTAGTTCAGCCTAGAAATCTAGAATGTGTCTGTACTATGTATGTATTGTTTTGTTTTCAATATGTATTCATGACTGAGCTTTCCATATATCCATATTTATAGTGACTTGCAGTTAAGTTTTATGGGATACTTCCTGGACAGCATCCAAGGATTATTTGTTCTGAAGTTAAGACAGTTGTATCTTTGTATACTCTTTAGCTCCTTGAATGTGTCCTTGGATCTCCTGCATTTTATTTAAAGTATGTTGATTTAGTCTAATCATGTTAAAGTAGGGGAAAGGTAAAAACAGTTACCAGAAGCAAATTCATAGCTAGAGAAGTTAGGTAGTAATTATTTCTAATCACTGTGAATGAAGTTCTGGCTCCTATTATAGAAAGAACATGTTCAAATTATTACAATCCTTGTTTTTAAAAAGAGTTTAATCTTTACTTTTTTTTAAAGGAGAATAATCTGACCTCTATCAGTAGGTTCTAATTCTGCCATGAATAGTGGATATCCCATAACAGTAGTGATCTAAAGAAGATAGATGTTCTACTCTCATATAGGTAATCTAGTTAGACAGAACAGGGTTGCTTTAGTAGCTCCATATATCAGAAACCCAGATTCCTTGTGTAGGAACCATTGTATAGCTTCCATTTCACGTTCTAAGACCTAACTCAATTCTAGCTATACTATCTCTTTTCCAGATAGAAAGAAGGGGGTAGGGAACAAAGCATACCATGACACCTTTTCCGACTCCCTCCAATGCACACATACTTATATTAGATGGTATCTAGCTGCAAGGGAAGCTAGGAGATACATTTATTATTTCAGGAGACTTTGAGATCAGTTACAGGTCAGGTGTTCTGTTTCTTTAGACAAGGGGAAACAATATTAGGAGGCAACTAGTCACAGAATATTAAGTATGGAAAAAGTTAATGATGTTGAAAAACTATGTTGGCATTAGGTTTCTTGCAGAAAGCAACCTGTAAATGGAAAGGACCTTTTTTTCTGAACTTCAGTTTTCTATAAAGAGCTTAAACCAGATCAAACTTAAAGGTGCTTCGAGTTGTTAAACTTTGAAACTTTGATTCTATGAGTTGAAAAAGTCATAATGGAAGGAATCACTAAAGATTCCAGGTCTCTCAAGACTTTATTTTTTTTTTTTTAAAGATTTATTTATTTATACAAGCACTGGGTACAGTGAGTAGCGTGGGAGGGTGAGAGAATTCACCAGAGCCAGAGCGGGGAGCAGAACAGGCAGAAGGACCGAAGCATACTGCTGAGGGGAGCAGTGGGCGGCAGGAGAGGTCTGCACGCCATGTGGGACCCTCCTCTGGTGGCCGGGGATCAAACCGGTGCTGCAGAGGCTGCGGGCAGCTTCCCAACCCAGCACTCAACCGCTGCGCCACCGAGGAGGCCCTCTCTCAAGACTATAAAAAAAAAAAAAAAAAAAAAGGGGCCTCCCTGGTGGCGCAGCGGTTGAGCGCTGGGTTGCAAAGCTGCCCGCGGCCTCTGCGGCGCCGGTTCGATCCCCGGCCACCGGAGGAGGATCCCATATGGTGCGCAGACCTCTCCTGCCACCCGCTGCTCCCCTCAGCAGTGTACTTCGATCCTTCTGCCTGCTCTGCTCCCCACTCTGGCTCTGGTGAATTCTCTCACCCTCCCGCGCTTCTGACTGTACCCAGTGCATGTATAAACAAAACAAACAAACAAATATAATAAATAAATAAATAAAAACATGCCTCTATTAAAAAAAAAAAGATTTATTTATTTATGCATATAAGAACTGGGATACAGGCCCGAGGTGGGGATGGGGGCGGTGAGAGGGTTCAACAGAGACAGAGTGGGAAACAGAACAGGTGGATTGACTGAAATTCACTGCTGAGGGGAGCAGTGGGCAAGACAGGTGGATTACCTCCCTGGCCAGGAATTGAACTCATGCTGCAGTGGCTGACGATAGCTTGATAGCGCTAAGACTTAAACCTCTGTGCCACCAGGGAGGCCCTGATCCCACTGTTCTTTACTCATTTTATTTTTCATGTTCTACTTCAGCCTCTCACATCTTATATGCACTAACTCTTTATCATATATGACCAATTTTTTTCCTGATTTTGTTACTGGTTTCCAACTATCTTCTGGTATAGAGATTTTCTAATTTCTGTTGTTTTTCGGGAGAAGCTGAGATTCAGTACACCTATAACTATAAAGTACTAATTATATTAGAGAATGGAGATCATTTATTTTAGGTTTGCGATTTTGTAGACACCCAAGTGTCATGATACATGAATTTCTAAAATTGAATTCAACTCACTTTTATATATGTTTCTTCTTGGACCCATTATTTGAACTCTATATATACATACTTTCTACCCACCTTAAGATGAGCTTTTTTTTAATCCTCCAGTGACCTTATTTATCCTGAATTCCTTTGAATTCATGTCCTTTATTGTTTATATATTTGGTAGATAGGCAGTTCCGTAAGGATTAGGAGGCTGCTTTACTATGCTTTGCAATAGAAAGTTGGATACTCTATAATACTGTGTGGTGTTGTTCATGGTTGTAGATCTATTCCAGTCCTTTACATGTTCAGACAAGAAAGCTCTAAATATAACTTGTAGGAAGAAAAATTTAAGATAAAATTTAAGAAATCCAATAAAAGTCTTGACATATTTATAAATGTTTGTTAGGATACCCTATGCATATATATAATTGTAACTTTTGTCAGTGAAAATTATGTAATATTACGTAATGAAAAAAAAAATAACTTTCTTCCCCCCACCCCCTTTATTTTAGGCACAAGATGCTGGTCTTGGTGTGTCAATTTTACTATGTGTCAGAGCTCTTCAACTCAGATCAAGTGAGGATGAAGAAATGAAAGCATCAGTTTGTAAAACAATTGCTTGTCTTTTACCAGAAGATTTAGAAGTTAGACGAGCCTGTCAACTTACAGAATTTTTGATTGAACCCACTTTGGATGGATTTAATATGTTGGAAGAACTCTATTTGCAACCAGATCAAAAATTTGATGAAGAAAATGCACCTGTCCCAAATTCTCTCCGATGTGAGCTCTTACTAGCTTTAAAAGCCCACTGGCCTTTTGATCCTGAATTTTGGGACTGGAAAACTTTAAAACGACATTGCCACCAACTCCTAGGACAAGAAGCCTCAGATTCTGATGATGACCTAAGTGGCTATGAAATGTCTATTAATGACACAGATGTTTTAGAGTCATTTCTCAGTGACTATGAGGAAGGTAAAGAAGATAAGCAATACAGAAGAAGAGATTTGACAGATCAGCATAAGGAGAAACGAGACAAAAAACCCATTGGTTCTTCTGAAAGATACCAGAGGTGGCTTCAGTATAAATTTTTCTGTTTGTTATGTAAGCGGGAATGTATTGAGGCCAGGATTCTTCATCATTCTAAGATGCATATGGAAGATGGAATTTACACTTGTCCAGTTTGTATTAAAAAATTCAAGAGAAAAGAAATATTTGTTCCTCATGTGATGGAACATGTTAAAATGCCACCAAGCAGAAGGGACCGTTCTAGAAAGAAATTACTGTTGAAAAGCTCTCAAAAGGGAATTTGTCCCAAGAGCCCCTCTGCAACTCTGGAGCAAAATCAGTCATTGAATGAACAAACCAAAGGAGAGTCTCATGAATATGTCACATTCAGCAAATTAGAAGATTGCCACCTACAAGACAGAGATTTGTACCCATGTCCTGGCACAGACTGTTCCCGTGTGTTTAAGCAATTTAAATACTTAAGTGTGCATCTTAAAGCTGAACACCAAAATAATGATGAAAATGCCAAGCACTACTTGGATATGAAAAATAGAAGAGAAAAGTGTACTTACTGTCGACGACATTTCATGTCTGCTTTCCATCTGCGGGAGCACGAACAAGTGCATTGCGGTCCTCAGCCTTATATGTGTGTATCTATAGATTGCTATGCTAGGTTTGGATCAGTGAATGAACTACTTAACCATAAACAAAAACATGATGATCTGCGTTATAAATGTGAGTTAAATGGCTGCAATATTGTTTTCAGTGACTTGGGACAGCTCTATCACCATGAAGCACAACACTTTCGGGATGCATCTTATACGTGCAACTTTGTTGGCTGTAAAAAGTTCTATTATTCCAAAATCGAATACCAGAATCACCTCTCAATGCATAATGTTGAAAGCTCAAATGGAGATGTGAAGAAAGTGAAGGTTGAGGAGCCTGCAGCAGGTGAAAAGCAAGATTGTATTGATCGGTCCCATCTACTTGAACAGACTGATAAATCACATTTACCCGAGGATCTTCTTTTCTGTGCAGGATCCGCTAGTTCTCAAATAGAAACTGCAGAAAATCTGAAAGAAAACAGTGACAGTAATTCTAGTGATCAGTTAAGTCATAGCTCTTCAGCTTCCATGAATGAAGAGTTAATTGACACACTCGATCACTCTGAAACCATGCAGGATATATTATTATCTCATGAGAAAGTCTTTGTACCCTCTAGTTTAAAAGAAAAGTGTTCCAGTGTAGCAGTTTGTTTTGATGGCACTAAGTTTACCTGTGGTTTTGATGGCTGTGGTTCCACGTACAAAAACGCAAGAGGGATGCAGAAGCATCTACGGAAAGTTCATCCATACCATTTCAAACCCAAAAAGGTAAAGACTAAAGATCTCTTTCCCTGTTTGGGAAATGAACATAACCAAACAACTGAAAAGTTTGATACAGAACCTAAACCCAGCTCAGATACAAACAGTGACTCCCCGGATGAAGGTCTTGATCATAATATTCATACTAAATGTAAACGAGAACATCAAGGTTATTCCTCAGAAGCCTCCATTTGTGCTTCTAAAAGGCCATGTACAGAGGATACAATGTTGGAACTTCTGTTACGCTTGAAACATTTAAGCTTGAAAAACTCAATAACACATGGATCTTTCTCAGGGTCATTGCAGGGGTACCCATCCAGTGGTGCTAAGTCTCTCCAGTCATCTTCACCTACTATCTCAGACCTTAATTTTCAGAATCAAGATGAAAATATGCCAAGTCAGTACCTTGCACAGTTGGCAGCTAAGCCTTTTTTCTGTGAGCTTCAAGGATGCAAATATGAATTTGTGACCAGAGAGGCTTTGTTAATGCATTATCTTAAAAAACATAATTATTCAAAAGAAAAAGTCCTCCAATTAACCATGTTTCAGCATCGATATTCCCCATTCCAGTGTCACATTTGCCAAAGGTCATTTACAAGAAAAACACACCTTAGGATTCATTATAAAAATAAACATCAAATTGGCAGTGACAGAGTAACTCACAAACTATTAGATAGTGAAAAATGTGATCACGAAGGCCCATGCTCAGTAGACAGGTTGAAAGATGATTGTTCTGCAGAACTTGGAGGTGATCCCAGCAATAACTCTGAAAAGCCACACTGTCATTCTAAAAAGGATGAATGCAGTTCAGAAACAGATTTGGAGTCCTCTTGCGAAGAAACTGAAAGTAAAACCTCTGATATTTCATCACCATTAGGTAGCCATAGAGAAGAACAAGAAGGAAGAGAGGGGAGAGGGAGTAGGAGAACTGTTGCTAAAGGAAACCTGTGCTACATTTTGAATAAATACCACAAACCATTCCATTGTATCCATAAAACTTGCAACTCCTCATTCACCAATCTAAAAGGCTTGATTCGCCATTACAGAACTGTACATCAGTACAACAAAGAACAGTTATGTTTAGAGAAGGACAAAGCAAGAACCAAAAGGGAACTTGTCAAATGTAAAAAGATATTTGCTTGCAAATATAAGGAATGTAACAAACGCTTCCTGTGTTCCAAAGCTCTTGCTAAGCACTGTAGTGACTCTCATAACCTAGATCATATTGAAGAGCCTAAAGTGCTTTCTGAAGCTGAATCGGCAGCAAGGTTTTCCTGTAACCAGCCTCAGTGCCCTGCTGTATTTTATACATTCAGCAAGTTGAAGCACCATTTGATGGAACAGCATAATATTGAAGGAGAAATACAGTCAGATTATGAAATCCACTGCGATCTCAATGGCTGTGGCCAGATTTTCACCCATCGCAGTAATTATTCTCAACATGTGTATTACCGACATAGGGACTATTATGATGATCTTTTTAGAAGCCAGAAAGTAGCAAATGAAAGACTGCTAAGAAGTGAAAAGGTATGTCAAGCAACTCATACTCAGGGGCATGAGCATCAGGCTACCAGGAGACCCTTTAACTCTAAGGCTAAGAAATGTGGCTTACTCAAAGAAAAGAAAGCTCCAATTAGTTTTAAAACAAGAGCGGAAGCCCTGCATATGTGTGTGGAGCAGTCTGAGCATACACAGTACCCCTGCATGGTTCAAGGATGCTTATCTGTGGTGAAATTGGAGAGCAGCATAGTGAGGCATTACAAACGCACGCATCAGATGAGCAGTGCCTATTTAGAGCAACAGATGGAAAATCTTGTCGTCTGTGTTAAGTACGGTACCAAAATTAAGGAGGAACCCCCATCTGAATCAGAGCCCTGTATAAAGAAAGAAGAAGATAGAAGCAGTGAATCAGAGCACACAAAACACAGCCATTCCCCTGGTGACAGTAGCAGACCTGTCCAGAACACTGACTGTCCTCATCCAGGTGAAAGGGATGGAGGTCAGAAAGTATGTACAGAAAGCAGCTCAGTATTTGACGCAGATACTCTGCTTTACAGAGGAACTTTGAAATGTAACCATAGTTCAGAAACCACTTCTTTGGAACAATGTAATATAGTTCAGCCTCCTCCTTGTAAAATAGAAAATTCCATACCTAATTCTGATGGGACTGAAAGTGGGACTTACTTCACAAGTTTCCAGCTGCCTTTACCAAGGATCAACTCAGAAACTGGGCAGCAAAGTTCAGGGCAAGAAAACACTGTTAAAAATTCAACCCATGTCCCAAAAGAGAACTTTAGGAAACATTCACAGCCTAGGTCATTTGACTTGAAGACTTATAAACCTATGGGATTTGAATCTTCATTTCTGAAATTTATTCAAGAAAGTGAAGAGAAAGAAGATGATTTTGATGATTGGGAGCCTTCAGAGCACTTAACATTAAGTAATTCTTCACAACCCAGTAATGACTTAACAGGGAGTGTTTTGGCAAATAATATGGTAAATGACAACAACCCTGAAGTTGACATACCTCATTCTTCTAGTGACTCTGCAATTCATGAGAACCTGACTGCAATCCCACCTTTAATAGTAGCTGAGACCACAACAGTTCCTTCCTTGGAAAATCTAAGGGTTGTGTTGGATAAAGCATTAACAGACTGTGGAGAGCTTGCCTTAAAACAGCTTCATTATCTTCGGCCAGTGGTTGTCCTTGAAAGATCTAAGTTTTCCACACCAATATTAGACTTGTTTCCAACAAAAAAGACAGATGAGCTTTGTGTAGGGAGTTCCTAAGTAGCAATTTTGTTTTAGAAACAGATTGGCTCCAACACCGCAACATGGGAACAATTGCCAACTCGAACAAAGGCTGAGAACCAGCCACACCATTGTTTAAGGTAGACTAGGCTGTGTATTTACATGAATGTATAATATCTATGTCAGCAGTATTGGCTGAGTCCATTAGCTCTCCAGTTGGTTTATTGATTGGGTTTTTTTGTTTGTTTGTTTGTTTGTTTATTAAAAAAAAAGATGGAACTGTATTCTTGTTTGGTGCTAATTAATACATCAAAATATACTGGGGCTTCCTTTTTCAAATTAAGTGTGCATGATTGTATATGGAACAAATACTAAGATCCCAGGGTGGGAGGGCTAGGGAAAGGGATATGGAGTTCTTACTTGACTTGAATGTGCACCTGAGGGTGCTTTGTGTAATATATTGTACACTACAGCATCTTATATTTTTTGAGTTGAGTTTCAATAAATTACAATTTTTCACCCATTTCTTGTTTACTCATAGTGAGTTTTCATGCCACGTATAAACTAGACTCTTGTACATTCTAGAACGTGCATGTATATTTACCCCATTGGTTTTGTTTCTTTGCCAAACCAATTCACACTTCTTTTTGAATATCTATTTTTGTAAAATTTTTATGAAAATTCTGAGTGCATAATTAGCTTATTGAGTTTGAGCTAGTAGTTTTCAGAAGAGAATTCTAGAAGTTGTACTGGTAGGAGAGGGCATGCCAGGCAAAACATGAAGGGCACAGAAAATTCAGAGGTATGAAATCCTGTTCCCAGGGAACTACAAAAAATTACGTAAGTTGGCAATAAAAGCGGAGTACTGGGCTAGATGAGATACTATAATGGAACCCAACCATGGATGTTTAAAAGAGTTTGGATTAATCTATAGGCAGCTGAGAACCTTTGAAGGATTTTAAACAAAACAATATTCAAATTAGTAATTTATAGATAAATTGAAGTGAGTGGTTTCTGGGGTTGAGAATAGAAACAACACTGTTGAAATTGAAGCATACTTGATGAGAGCATAGTGATGATTGTAGCAGAGGTAAGAGTAAATAAAATTGAGGAATTTAAAGAAGCTTGTTGGGCATGGGAGGGTGAAGAAAATGTTTTGAGGAAAACTTACAGATTTGGTAGTAGTGCAAGCAATTGATTTAGGAATATAAAAGGCTTTAGGGAAGAGAATGGAAAGCTAAGATGAATTTGGCCTTTGGATATGTTGAGTTTAGTGGAGTTCTCTAGTAACATCAAAAACAACATGTTATAAATAAAACAGTTTTATTCTCTTGTGAAATTTTCCACGACTAATGATTCAAACACTCCCAATGTGTTTGCCAAACCTGTGGCTAAGATTTTAAGACCTTTTTCTTTGACCTAAACTTGTTTTATCAGCTCTTGATCAATTTCATCCTGCTCCCTCTTAACCTTAAGAGTCTAAAGCACAAGCACCTCCTCCCTACCTCCAACCCAAGTCATTTCTGGATTCAGGGAGGTAACAGGATTCTCAAACAAGAATGCAATGAAAGAAAAAGTGGCAGAAACAGAATATCTTAAAAGATTTAGAGGCCACTACTGACTTGAGATCTTGAGCTGATTTCTTCTATGGAGTTTCCTCACAATAGTAAGAGGTCTGATTTCTTCTATGGAGTTTCCTCACAATAGTAAGAGGTACAGGAGATACAGGTGTTGATCTTGAAAGGTCCTTTTCAATGATAGGAGCATGAAGAACAACTGCTAATCTCATTGTAAAAAGTTCTTCACACTAGAAATGTTTAGTCCAAAACAAGAGAAAACTACTAATTTGCTTAAAATTGAACTATAGTCTTTCGGCACACCTAACTCCTACCCCTTAGCAGGACCAAGTGAATATGCAATGAAACCACTCCCTAATTTTCAGAACACAGTTGAAAGTTTGCCTCACATGCAAACCTTCACTGGTTGGTCCTAAGATCATTTCTATTCATGTTAAAGTAGCTTGCTTCTTTTGATCTTTATTGAAGACAACATTTTAATTATTGGAGTTCAGTACTTTTTTTTTTGAAGATTTATTTATGCAGACAAGAACTGGGGTACAGGCCAGAGGTACGGGAGGTAAGAGGATTCACCAGAGACAGAGTGGGGAGCAGAACAGGCTGGTTGAAATAAACTGAGGGGAGCAGCAGACAAGACAGGAGAGGTCTGTTGTGCCATATGGGTCATCTCCCTGGCTGGGATTGAACAACAACTGCAGTAGTAGCAGATAGCTTCACAGCGCTGACGCTTAACCCCTTGCTCCACTAGGGAGGCCTAGTATTTTTTTTAAAGTCTCTTGAGGATTTGCCCCTAAACCCTGAGACAGACTCAGAAGCTTTGACTTTGTTTTTAAACCCTTTTTCAAGTCAAGGATGCCCCTGAAAATAATGGGTAGAATCTGAGAGTGCCAGATACTTACTCTTGCGTTCTATCCAAAATTGTCATCTCACTATTTCTCCAGGTTTATGAACATGTATGTGAAAGAGAGGGTGGGGAATAATGCAGGTTTTGATTAACCTTCTAGGGCTTCTATCCCCAACCTATCTCAATAAGTTTTTCCAGACATCTGTTGTCATGGATCTTTAAGCACTGGAGCAGATTAAACAGCCTAGAAAGAATGATCCACTCTACTGTTGTGCTGTCTATACCTGCAGGGGTAGGTTCCGCGACAGACTGTATTTGGAGGTTTGGAACACTTTGAGGAACATAACAAGGATAGTCAGGTTTTACCAGAAAAAAAGGCAGGAGGGACAGGAAATTTATAGCCAAATATTTACTAAGCATGTACCATCTACTTCCTCCCAAGGTAAAGAGTTGACCATGACATGGTAAGTTTCCTGCATCATGAGGCTAGTGACAAAGGTAAACATTAAAAAAAAAATACCGGAAGTTATTAGTTAAATAAAAGTGCTACCAAAGGAAAAAGAACAGGTAAATGCCCTTGAGGAAACAGTTTTTACACTGGAAATCTGAAGAATCAATAGGAATTAGACAAAGGATAATCCAGTACATGTGAAGGGGTTGTGGTGCAACAACTTAGCATGTTAGTGATATTGACAAATTTGTAGCCCAATTGGAAGGATAAAAAGGAAAGGAAGGAGAGAATGTTAGCTAAACAGGAAACAGGTATTTTCATGCCTTGTAACCATGTTCTAGATTTTACATTTCAAAAGCCAAGTATGGAAGAACCCGAAAGTTGGTATTGCAACAGTCTAAGCTGCAATGCATAAAAAATCCAATAGGATATGACATGAATGACTACTGAGTGGAAATGAGTGATGGCTGACTAGATGGACGAATGAATGCTACTAAAGTTGGTCTGAGATGCCTTCTGTATATTGATCAGATTGATCATTGTAGGTGGTCAGGAATCCAAGTGGGGAGTCAAACATGGATTCTGGGGACTAGATGCTCTCTGAGGCATCTTATGCTAAGGAGATTTACAATACATGTGTTGGATCATAAATGTTACTACTAATAGTGTGTGGCATAGTTCTATTGCACAAGTTAATCAAATTCTCATTACAACTCTACAGGGTAGGAATTACTGCTACTTTACAAATGAAGATACTGCCTCAAGTGACTTGCCCAAGATAACAAGGTTAGTGAATAGTAGAGTCAAAATTGAACCCAAAGACCTATCCTCTTAACAGCTGCTCTGCAAAGCCTCTGTACAACCAAGTACACAAATATGAAAATAGGCACTTGGTGAATGAACAGGTTGGACTATAAAGATATTAGGAATTCTGTGTTCTCTTAAAAATAGACACCGGCTGTGTGCCAATAGATGGATATGATTCCTGCCTTCCTTGAGTTTATGGAAGATCAATTTTAACAACCCCCTGCTGCCCCCCCCCAAAAAAAAATAATTGCACAAATAGCAATGTGCTAAGTGCTTTGAAAGTGAAGCAGATGGTGCCATGTAACAGGAAGATCTAAGCTAGTGTCAGGAGTTTTGGGTAATGAATCAGTGGTCACAACCCTACCTGTGTCCAAAAGTTTCGTTACCATTCTTTAAACTTCTCACCCATGTTTAACCTATTCCAGGTTTTAACTAAGTGGCTTTTATTCCTCAATAGGATTCTGATTATTGTCAGTCACTAGCAGACTAGAAGTTTCACATTAATAATGTCACTCCTAAATCAATAGATCATTTTACCCTGACATAGCATTATGTTTTACATTCCATTTTCTGAATGTGTCTCTGACACCTCAGGCAATTTGCCATACCTTTTCTTTTTGCAAGAACATTCCTTCACCAGGCATCCTATTCCTGTACTTCTATCCAGAATGAACAAATTGGACTAGCACTAGACAATATTTTTCTAATTTTTTTAAAGATTTATTTATTTATTTATACATACAAGCACTGGGTACAGTCAGAAGCACAGGAGGGTGAGAGAATTCACCAGAGTCAGAGCGGAGAGTAGAATAGGCAGAGTGACGAAGTACACTGCTGAGGGGAGCAGAAGGCGGCAGGAGAGGTCTGCGCGCCATGTGGGACCCTCCTCCGGTGGTCAGGGAGCAGCCGGGGATCGAATCAGCGCTGCAGAGGCCGCAGGCAGCTTCGCAACCCAGCGCTCAACCGCTGCGCCACCGGGGAGGCCCATTTTTCTAATTTTTTATCTTAACTGACCCTTTCTTTCCTAATTGTGCTCCTCCCCTCTTCTTGGCGCAAACCCTCTTGGATTCTTGATGTCTTTGTAACTCATCTCACAGTTTAGATTATACACTAGTGTGTGAACTTCCTTTTTCATTTAAGATTTTTGGGAAAGACATTTTATATTTTCATAACCTTGCTGCGTAGATAGGTACTAATCAGTAAATAATTTATTTGATAATATGTTGTACAGGTTATACAACATGCTACTATTTACAATGTGCTTAGAAAATCATACCATTTATTCCTAATGAAACAGGACAAACCTATGGAACTGATGTTGACCCAGTTTGTGGGTCCTCATCCATGTGCCTAAGATCGCAGGGTATGACCCAAAGGCAGACACATGGTAGGAAACAGTAATAGGATTTTTTTTAATTTATATATGCATACAAGAACTGGGGTACAGGCCAGAGGTGTGGGGGGGTGAGATGATTCACCAGAGACAGAGTGGGGAACAGAACAGGCAGATCAACTGCAATACACTGCTGAGGGGAGCAGCGGGTGAGTCAAGAGAGGTCTGCTGCGCCATGTGGGTAGCTCCCTAGTGAGGGATCGAACTCCTGCCACAGTGGCTAAGGATAGCTTCATAGGTTGCATCTTAACCCCTTGTGCCACCAGAGTGGCCCAGATTTTTTTTGTTTTTAAATGGTATTTTATTGAAGTAATGTTTGTGTAAAACATTGTACATGATTTATGGGTACAGATTCACGTGCCTTCAGGGGTATGTTACCACACCACACACACCCACTCAATGGCACCATAATTCTCTACCATAGTCCCTTGCTTTGCTCCTTACCTTCCCCATCTCGTAGCCACAATTCTTTTTTAAATTAATTAGCAAACTCATTAATATTTTACATCATTGTTCATTTTTGTACAATGTATGCTTTCTCCTTTCAGGTGCAGTCCCCATAAAATTCCCATCAGTTCACTTGTGCACCATCACCATAGTCCCTTATGCTCTTCCCTCCTGTTTTGATCCCTTACTCTCCCTCTCCCCAATAAAAGGATTTATTTACATAGAGAATGAGGAAAGGGAGAGCTAAGAGAGAGAATTTATCGTATATACTGGTGCTTGGCCAAATGCCATCTGTCCTACCCCATATAGCATCCACCAAGCAGAGGCTGGTGTCCAAGCTGAAGTCACATGTGGTAAGCTATCACCCTTCCCCTCCAGCAGCTTAACTGCCAAAGCCCCAGCTACTCCCTTTGCCCATCAGCCCTCACTTGGGGTGGATTCTGGAAAACTCCACATTTTACCATCGAACGGGCTATAGGTGCCACCCATTGGCTCAGAGGTTGCTCCCTTCTATTCCTTTTACACTAATACAAACCTTGTGAAGGAGATGAATCCCTACCTGTAAATAGATGAACAAAAAGAGGCTCAAATACATTCAAAACAAAAACAAAGACCACAATTTCTAAACAATAGTGATCAATGGAAAGAAAGGAATGCTACAAAATGATCCAGTTATAACCTTCCTCCACATTTACCAGGTAAACTGTTCACTCTAGGAAAGCTCTCTTCTGAGTCCCATCTCCTGAAATTCCACTTAACCTCAGTTTTCTTATCTGTCTTGTAAAAATAATTCCTTTTCATTCCATGAATTGTTGGAAATGTAGTGGTAGAGCACTATGAAAGTAACCACTAGCCACTAGTGTGGCTTTTAAATTTTATTAAAATTCAATAAATGTAAAATTCAGCTCTTCAGCCACACTATGCACATATTAAGATAGAGAATATTTCCATCATCACAAAAGGTTCTATTGGATAGTGCTGTGCTAAAACTAGGACTTGCCAGAAATCAGAGAAAGAACTGAAAACCTAGGCCAGTGCCTGGCTGGTTTTGAGTGAGAAATTTCACTGAATGAGTGGGAAGCAAGCTGACCTTTGGAACAATGACATCACAAAGCACAACTCACAATGCTCCAGAACAACCCGGCTCCCAGGCCACTTTCCTTAACTCATACCTAGGTTCCTGAAGCCTCCGCACATGTAGTTCCTGGAGTAGCTGCCTTACTAAAATGTCAACATCTTCACCATCGCCTTCTCTCTCGGACCAAATCTTAGAAATTCTATCTCGGAGCACAATATGGAATTGGCTGCAATCAACATTAATGGGAGAGAGTGGTGAACCGCAGCAGACAAATTATGGGATAATAGAGAAGCTTGCTCCAACTGTGCAAGTTGTCCTGGGGGCTATCTTTATAATGTTGTTGACAATAGGAATATATGCTTTATGGAAACGAAGTGTTCGCTCAATTCAGGTTATACTCTTTTGTTACAGAACAATTTAAATAGTTTATAAATTGAAATTTGATTAGTTCTCTCCCAAATCACTCCCACAAAGTTTTAAGACTATGCTGTTGAGCAAGAGTGGGTAGACCACTCTTGCTGAAACTAGGTTTTCCTTATATTTCCATTAATTAGATTTTGAGAATAAAAATGCTCTTTTTCACCATGTTCTTTGGCATCTCAGAATGGAACAAATGAGTTCATAACCTGAGAAGGCAGTCTTAATCCTAAATTTATTTAGTTACATACTTGTATTTGAATGTGCCAGATTCCATGTGGGGTATCTTTGTTACTGGGATCTTGGGTTTGTCTTTCTGTTCTTACTGGGCCATTGTTCTATAGCTGATGAAGAGGTACATACATTTATTTAGTCACTGCAATGTTTTAATTTTTCTTTGTTTTAACAAGATACGGCTCTATAGGGACCGGGTAAGGAGTTAATAGGAATATAATTGGGATTGTGAAAGACATTTAGGATTTTACATCTTTAATCACCAATAATAGTGGCTATATTTAAAATGTAGTTAAAATGCTTAGAGAATTCTGAAAATTTCATGAGCTGGAGAGAGGTTATTTTCATATGACAAACAAGGAAACTGAAGTTCTTAAAGTTCATTGGAAATTTAAGGAAGTAGGATTTAAAGGAGATTTTTTTAGAGTGACTGGTTTACTTGGTAAATGCTAAGTTATTTCTAGGTCATTTTTAGACATACATATGTCACTTATTTTCATACATCACTGCTGTTGAGGATTCATGGTCATATCTACTTTCTCAGCCTCTCAAAACCCTACAGGGTAAGTAGGGCAGGGATTATCTCCCTTTTGCAGGTGAAGGAACTTGGTTACCAAGTTGACATAGATTGTGAAAGCTGGCATCTGAGATTTGAACACAGTTTTTAGGATTCTAAATTCAGTTCTCCAAAAATCTCATTTTAATTATTTAACTGACTTAACCCCCATCAAGGAAGTGTGTTTATACATATTTACATATATGCTTTTCAGTTAGCTAATGGAATATAAGGCCAGAAAAAAAAAAAACCACAATTCTGTATCTATAGTAAACTATGGTAAACTATTTTACACAAATAAGTAATTAACATTCAACTTCTGTTGTTTTATTTTAGAATATATTGTTGTTTGCAATCACACTCTACAAACTTTACAAGAAGGGAACAGATTTTTTTCAGGCTTTGCTGCTTAACCCAGAAGGTACTGGTCTCCCAGTTCAAGACAAAAATAATGTCTTCCTGTCCTTGGGGCTACAAGAAAAAATTTTGAGAAAACTTCAGACAGTGGAAAACAAGGTGAAGGACCTGGAGGGAATGATTATTTCCCAAAAACCCACCATGAAGAAGGACTGTTCTGCTGAGCCCTACTGCAGCTGCTCTGACTGCCAGAGTCCCTTGCACACATCCGGGTTCACATCCACATCTGAAATGTAACGGACGCCAAGCTTTTCCAGAAAAGTACTGTTTCCTCATGTGTGTGGTAGTGTATCAATAAAGGTAGAGAACTATATTGAAATTACAAGAGTGGCTCTGTATTCAGTAGGGCTCTGCTTTTATTCATTAATGTGGTGGGCTAATGTGGACTATGGTGGCAGTTTAAAATGTCTGAGGTTTGTGTTGTCCACTTGGCAGCCTGAAGACCCTAAGCAGGCATTTAGAAAAGGATAGACAGCTGGAGCCCACAGAAGTGAATAAAGGGATATATAGCCTTGAGCACCATGCTAAAAATTGGATAGAATAAAAAAGCAAGAAAGTGCCATTTACTGGGAATGTTGCCCACTATCCTGCAGAGGTAGGCTGGCCCTTGTGGTGGTTTTTGGTCTAAAGATAAATATGTGGCCAGGGGTCTCCTTGTGAATACTTAAGAGGTGGGCAGGTGTGGTAGTGGTCATAAAGGAGACTTTAATTTTATCCAACTTTTACTAATACTGCTTTAAGCATTGTTATGATCTTGGAGTCTTTCCTGAGTACATCAGGAGCTCTCAATTTGGGGGTTAGACAGGGAATTTCAGAACAAGAAATTGTAATACAGCAGGATCACATCATCTTGAATTTAGGTAAGTTCTCCTTACATGAATCCCAGCTTGGTGGAGAGGGGAGGAGGCACCTACCTCTCCACTTACTAAAGTACCCTGATGAGAAAGACACCTCCTGGAGAGGTGACTGTCAGAGTCGCTCTGATTTCACAAGCTTTATAGTGTGTGCATTTTAAAAAATTTATTTTTATTGATGCATATAGGAACAGGGGTATAGGCCAGAGGTGTGGGGGGTGAGATGGGGAGGGGGAGAGGATTCACCAGAGACAGAGTGGGGAGCAGAACAGGTGGACTGACTGAAATACACTGCTGAGGGGAGCAGCAGGCAACACAGAAGAGGTCTGCCGTGCCATGTTGGCTGCTCCCTGGCAGACGGGGGATTGAACTCATGCTGCAGCCACTGCGGATAGCTTCATAAGTGCTGTGCTTAACCCCTTGCGCCACCAGGGAGGCCCTTGATCATATTCTTTATGTGTTACACTAGCACTGAAAGGCAACCCCTTTGTACAATGAAACTTCACTGTGTAGTGTGTGTAATCCATGCAGAACATGTGCGGGACCAGGAAAGGCTTTGCAGACAGCGAGCTGTCCTATGAAGGATTAGACAATGAAATGAAAGGTAACTCTGCAGGTAGGCTGCATCATGCATCATGGAGACATAAAAAAGAGAGTGGCTTGCTTGGGGAACAAGTTCCAGGGTGACTGAAACACTGATTATTTCCAGACTACAGTGAAGGATTTTAGCTTCAGGGCAATTCACACTAATCTCATCCTCAAATCAGCTTTAATTCATGATGTGGTGAACAGAACAGATGGGCATTATCAACACTGTGCATTATGACAGTGTAGATGAGAAATTTGTTAACTATGTTGCTAAAGGAGTGTTATGAAATATGTTTAAAAATATATCTTTCAGTGTAGTGTTTTCCTGCATCATCTCATCTTGTCTGGGTTACTGTGGTTATAGCAAAGGAAAATGTCAGAAGAAGGGCCTAGAAAAGTAGACTGCTCTAAGGTAATGAAGACTTTAAAAGTCATACTATATTGTTGGAAATTGACCATTGTAGGTTTTTAAAGGGAGGAGCTACATGGATTTGGTAGACTGTGTGGGAGAAATAAAATAGAACTATATGCAAAAGACTAAACAGTCTGCTTGCTTCTGGTGGGGTGCACAGTATGGTAGAAGCTGATCTCATTCCTGGCTCTCAGCTCCCAGAAAGGATGTGTGATATACTCCACAATCATAAAGGATTGATACCATGTATTCCTTCATGGTGTGTGTGTGTGTGGGGGGGTCATTCCTTCCTTGAGATCAGAGCTCTTATATTTGGGGCATCGATTAAGGGAATGTGGATGCTTGGCAAGCAGAGAATCAAGGCAAGATAGGGAAAGAGTTTAAAAGATTTTTTTGTCACTCAAGTTAGGTGGGGAAAATGAACCAGCCTGAAAGTGTCCACCACTCTAGGGAGGAAAATGCTTAGTCTCCAAATTCATTCCTTCTCCTTTCACAAAACCCTAAAAACAATGTTGGTTTTTTTTTTTTTTTTTTTTTGAGTTTGTCTGGGTTCTGGCTCCAAAGTTTATTGAGATCCACTGCATTACAAACTTTAAACAAAAGGTTCTTGAACCACTGTCCTACAGTAATATTAACAAATGGAATAATTATAGAGAATAGAAAAATTCTATCAAATCAGTAGGGAGACAATAGATATATACAGTAATCAGAAATTATGGTTTTTGAATGTCATTGTCTGTCAAATTATAAAAGGAATAATGACCTAACCATGGCAGATTGAAAACCTATTCATAGCTATTGTTCATTAAAATCAGTTAGATGGTTTGTCCTTCTTGCCAAAAGCAGATAATTCAGATGATGCAATACTTCTTTTAGAGTGGCTTGTTGTATCAGCAGGAAGTCTTATGACATTAGATTTTTTTTAATATTTTATATAATTCTTACATCATTTTTCATCTTTGCACAATGTATGCATTTTCATTTTGGTTATATTCCCCATACAATTGCACCCCCCCCCCTTTTATTTGACTCTAGTCCTTCCTCTCCCCCCACCCCAGTGTGTCTCTGGTTTATAGTTGCTTGTTGATTTTGATTTTTACTTTGTATTGATTAGTCTTTTTCCTGGTCTCTTATTCAGGTTTTCTAAATTCCTGCTATGAGTGAGACCATCCAGTATTTTTCTTTTTCTTTCTGACTTATTTCACTGAGCATGATCCCTTCTAGCTCCATCCATGTTGCTGCAAACTGCATGTGTTTATTTTTTTTGATTGCTGAGTAATATTCCATGGTGTATATGTACCATATCTTCTTGATCCAGTCGTCTATATTTGGGCATTTGAGTTGTTTCCAAATCTTAGCTATTTAAAAACAATCTGTTTTGAGGTCCACTTGACACTCCACACAAACCAGCCCTTCAATGCACTCTCTTTTCTGTGAAGAAACACCTCTTCCTCTATAACCACACTCTAGTCATACCTACCATCATTTCCCACCTGGATTCCTTTTTCTTTTTCCATATAAAAGATTTTAATATATTAACCCTCTCATGAAAAATCTGTACAATCACCACAGATAAAGTCATTGCAGAATCTCTATTTCTTCTGCTGTCCAACCTCCAGTTCACTTTTCTCCAGCATCAAAAGTGGCCTTTGCAGTTGGATAGTTCATTCATGATGGAACTTCCTCAACATTCAGGAAGGCAGGCAGCCAGGGAGGAAAAGCCTCACCCGGATTCTTGGCACAGCCTCTAATTGTACTCCCTGCTTCCACATGTGTCCCATTCAACGTATTCTCTACATAACACCCCAAGAAATCCTCCAAATCTTCCAATGGTTTATTCTTTTACTGAGTTAAAGTTCTTAAAAGTTTGTGCATGGGATCTCCCTGGTGGCACAAGGGTTAGTTAAGTCAGCACTATGAAGCAATTGGCAGCCACTGAAGTAACCAGTTTGATCCCTGACCAGGGAGCTAATCCACATGGCGCAGCAGACCTCTCCTGTGTCGCTTGCTGCTCCACTCAGCAGTGTGTTTCAGTAGATCCACCTGTTCTGCTCCCCACTCTGTCTCTGGTGAATCCTCTCACCACCCCCTACACACCTCTGGCCTACACCCCAGTTCTTATATGCATAAATAAATCTTTAAAAAATATGTAATATTCATAAATTTAGAGATGTAGGTGGTTTTATTTAACACTCATGAATTAAGCATCTCATGTAGCAACCAGAAAGATTCTCTGAGGGCTTGCCACAAATTGGGGGGGTTTATAGACAGAAAGCAGGTAAGGCAGGGTTATTAGCAAGAAAAAAACATTTCAGGCAAAGGGAAGGGAGTGATGGGTCGTTTTATCATGTAAATTACTTCACTGGAGCAGACAGGAAATTTTAGATTGCTTGGTTTAAGACTACATGTTTTGGCGAGATTGAAACTGTAATTAGCTAGGTTAGACAAGGTATTAAGTTTGGATAGGCGGGTTGGTTTGAACCACTCCATTTGGGCGTTTTTTCTATATTTAACAGTGTAAATAATGATTATGCAACTTGCCAACACCAGTTGTTATATGGCACAAAGGAAACGTGGACACCAGGGCTAACAAGAAGCAGATTTAATGTACCTGTGCTGACTCAGTGGATTCGTATCCCAAGGCTGAGCCCCTTGTGTAGAAAGCCCCTGCTCATATACACCTTCAGTTTCTACAAGGTCCCTGGTGGGTTTGCATTGGCAGCTGTACATGATCAGGTATGACGCGGCTACATACCAAGAGGTGAGTCGTATAGTTACATACTAAGGGTGAGTAAAAACATCAGTAGTCATGGGAGCTGCCCCCCCTCCCCGCCCCCCCTCCAAGGTCCGTCCTGCTTCATGGTTGTATATGGTCTAAATGTCGTATCAGAGAGTAAGTAGCATACCAGGAACTGCGCAAAAGGTTTTTACTAAGGTCCCCAGGCTGCTTATGCCAGGTCACCATGCTTCAAGTTTGTCAAACCAATTAACCAAGTCAGAACTTACCTTCGACCAGAAAAATTTTCACTTTTCAAGTCAAATCAATGTGTTAAGCATACTTGAGATTGTATTTCACTTCTAAATTCCAAGAGGGACATGGCACTGAGCTTTGATATATTTGTTCCTAAAGTAAGGTCCTTTTGTTAGGGGGAAAGGATGTTCTGAGCTAATCCCATACAGACTTTGTGGACTCCACCCCCACTCCAGACCAAAGCCTTCAGGACATTGGGAAAGACAAATCCTGTCACCACCAAAGGGAAGGTGGCTGGGACCCGAGGGTGGAGTTAAGCAGCCAGGGTTGATATAAAAATCCCAACACGTGGGCCTTGGGGGTGGCTCTCTGCTCGTCTCCTGGCTTCAGGGCTCCTGGCTCCCTGCCAGCTTTCAGAGTACCATTTGGGATTCCAGATGGGCGGATCGGGTAGGACGCATCTAAAACTTTGTCTCCCACTTTTCTCCCTGAGTTGTACAT